GGGGGGGGGGGGGGGGCGGGTTGGAGTGGTCACCTGGTGCCGTCGCTGTTCCCCGTCCTTCTTGGTGGAGGTCACCCCGAACATGCTTGTCTTATCGAGCACGGTGCAAATGCTGCGGACCGGCGCCCGGGCAGCGGTGGCACCGAAACACGCCCAACACGACGACGACGATCACGAGCACAGCCACCACGACATCGACCAGCAAACAGCAAACGTAGGACAATGTTGTGTCAAAAGAAAAAACAAGGGGTGGACATAAAGCAACAACTACTAGGCCGAGAGCGAGAAGGGGCGAGAGAAAGAGACAGACAGACAGACAGACGGACAGAGCCATTGCAAGGCATTTAGTGTGCGGCCAGGGAGAGAGGTGCAGACATTTATATTATGCCTGCACGAAGACATAGCAGGCCGGCATTGGGTTCGGAGAAAAATCGGAACGCGTCGCAACAAAGCAAGAAAAAACAGAGCAGTATGCATCGAAGGCAAGCGCCTAAGGGGAAAGGAAGGTGGCAGAACAAACAAAAATACGCGGAAAATCATCGCGAGGCATGGCCAAGCTAGCAGCAGCAGCGATCGTGTCGTGAACACGTCCACACGCAAGACTCTCTCACCGAAAGTTTGGGTTGTTGAGGAAGCCCAGCTCCGTGAGCTTGAGCTCGAGCCACCTCCAGGAGGTCTGGCTCCAGATGGCCAGGTCGTAGTGCTCGTACACCGTTGACAGGAACGAGTCCATGTGTGGCCGTTTCATTTGCTCGGGGCTCGCCGTCTCCTGGTCAAAACCGACCGACATTCACGAACAGCGAAACGCGAGGAATGTTGAATGACCCAAATCGTAATCACCAACAGCGAAACCACGAGGCATGTTGAAGGAAGGTTTCTTCGTGGGCTCATTCACCCTGCGTGAATATTCCACGTGGAACATGCACAGCCAAAGGCCGGAAGGCAAAACATCGACAAATGCAGGCAACGAATTCGGTATTTACCCTTTTTCCTGTTCGCCTTCCACATCTGAAAAAATAGACCGGAAGACACTTCGACGCACGAAACGAAAGTCGGCTTACCCTTATCCCCGTGCCTCCTTCCACATCACTCAAAAAAACAATCAGTGTAGACATCTTCGACAACTATTCGAAACCCCACCCGCGTGGTGAAGTCTAGCAAGGTGTGGTCCAGGTCCAGGACGAGAAGGGCCTTTCCGTCTCGTGGGGGATTCATGAAGTGCAGCTTCAAAACACGTACAGGGGGGGGGGGGCACAGCGGGGGGCTCATGAATACGCACGCTGACGTGGATGAAACATAGTTTCCGGCCCGTTCGGGCTTGGGCTAGTACTCGACGCTCATTTCCTCATTGCCGTTTGCTTTACTCTTACACCAGTAGCAAACATTTCATCGTTGTAATGCTCAACTCTCAGCAAGTCCCGGCATAATCTGTTTCATTGCCCCACCCCACTCAAAAATAGCGTAATTTCTTTTACTGTCGTTTCCTGCTCTGAAATAACGCCATTTTCGTGCATACCGTGGTCTTTCTCTCACCTCCGTCTTCTCCGTAAACTTGGCCAAGTTGTCCGAGTTTTCTATGGCCTGCCTCCACGCCTCACTTGCGTGAGACACGTCCAAATCGAAGTCTGCCGCGGCAACGAGAGAGGGCACGCGAGAGCGAGCACGCAAGACAGGAGAGAAGGGACTGCTGTGTCAACTGCTTGTGTCACGTGTCTTTCGTCCAATCTGTATCTATCCGGCGCCGGTGTTCAGCACAGACACGGAAGTATCGACCTAGGGTACTTGTACAATACTTTATCCCGGCCCGGAAGGTACCCCACGCGATACGACACTGTACGTGATGCATGTGCCAAGGCGAAACACCGCCAAGAAGATCAGTCTATTATCCCCCCTCCCTCCCGATTGTCTGCCAACGTTAAGAAGAGTGCCGTCATGGTGTGCAACGAGGTCAGGGAGGAACCAGTAGAACAGATGGAAGTGGGGGATCGAGGAGATTGCAGTAGTGGACCAGTACACATACCTCGGAGTAGAGATCGCAAACGACTGCTCGTGGAATGCACACATGTCCAAGGTAGCGGAAAAGGGCAGGGAAGCTGCACCCAATACTCGCAAACCGGCACCTCGATACACGCATCAAATTGGCGGTTTTGAAGAGCGTAATCGTACCGCCGCTAGAGTACGCCGGAGAAGTATGGGAAGGAAATAAGAAGGTAGTGAAAGAACTCGAGACGGCGCAGACGAAGGCAGCGAAAATCATCCTAGGATGCTCCAAGCGCACAAGTAATGCAGCCGTCAGGGCAGAATTGGGGATCCAATCCCTACGGTCGGGAAGAGACGCAAGGAAGCTGACATGGCAGTATCGCATGTTCGGGATGGGAGAGGAGAGGTTGCCGAGAATAGTATGGGAAGCGAAGTGGGCAAACAACAAGAGGGGTAGACAACCCACGGAATGGGTCAAGGTTGTAGAGGACATATGGAAGGGGTTAGACATCGACGAAGATGAAACGCTGGAAACGGAGGGTCTACAGGGGTTCAAGGAGAAGATATCTGTTGCTTGTGCCGAGAGAGAAGAACATAATCTAAGGAAAGAAACCGAGGATAAGGAGGGTCTAGAAGTGTACGGAATGTTGAAAGAAGGAATCGGGTTCAAGGATTACCTACATGGACCAATGGATGCAGGGACAAAGCTTGAGGTCAAATTCAGGACCGGGGACATAGGCCTTCGAGAACGTCGACGAAGACATAGGACGGTAGACGACGAAGACGACAAGTTCAAATGTGATTGCGGCTTCGAATGCGAAGGCGGTGTTCACGTAGTCGCGGAATGTCCGTGGTACGAAGAGGAGAGGGAAGTGTACATGACTGGGCTGGGAAAAATACAAGGGACGTACAGGGAGATCTTTGAGGCATGGAATAGAGAGGAGAGGACGGTAGCTGTACTGGGGAGTAGGAAGTGGTTTGAAAAGGCGGGAAGGGATATCGTTAGGATAGACAGACTAGGGAAGACATTATTGAGCCACCTTTGGCAAAGGAGGAAGGAACGATTGGCCATCGGTGATCGGTCCTGTGGGAACAATGCTCCGTCCTCTCGAGGACGCGTGGTCAATGGTCTAACCGCTAAGGCATGCAAAACATAACCCCCCCCCCCTTCCCTCCCTCCCTTTCCGTCTTGGTGTCTATCTCTGTCTCTACCTCTCCTTATCTTGCTCTCTGTTCGTATATATCCATTCCCTCATTTTCTCTCTCCCTCCCTATATCTCGACCTTCCTCTCTTTATCTCTCCCCCTCCCCCGTGCCAAGCACACAAACACACGCATGTGGTTTCTTCTCTTGTTCTCACCGTCAAAAACCTCTGGTAGGTCTTCCTTCTCGCGAGGGTCCACGAAAATCTCCGCCTTTGTTTCCCAGAACCAACCGGAAAACGGGAAGAAAAGGAAAAAGCGGACCGAGCGCGAAAAAACAAAAGAACGACACACAAACAAAGCCAACGATAAACAAGAGTCAGCATTCGACCGCAAATGAAACGCGGTGAGAGTCGAGAGAGAAGACGCTTGTTTCCAATCCATTAAGACGGCGTACGGTCCAGGGGCACCGCGAAATGAATTACTTCAGCAGGTTCGCAAAAAGGGGGGGGTGATTGTTTTCTTCAATCTCTTTGTTTGTTTGCACGCTAGCGTGTGACGTATTCAGGACTCACACATAAAAAATGAAAATAGTGTAAATGCTCCCATATTTGGCCACACTCAGCCACCCCTAACGTACGCTGTGCCCACCGCACTACACCATTGAGTACGACGAGAACCCCCCAAAAGGGAGGTAGACGGCGTACACCGGGTTGGTACATGACATGACACCTGGATCGATGCTTTCAGGCCCAACTACTCCACGACGAAGAGGACGCAAACATCAACATGATACGGATTCGGAATTTTCTGGACGAGACTGTTCCAACCAATGCCCCGCCATATCCTTCGTTACCACCACCGTCATCACGCTTGCTGACGGATAGAACTTCGCAAAAAAATGTTCCAGGGGGTGTTGGGTGGTATCTATCGTACGCAAAACTACTGACGGTGCCCCGGACCTCTGGGGTGCCCATGAGGATAAAGCGGTGAGGAGTCTTGAGGCGTATCCGCTCCAGGGGACAATCGTCAGCCGCCGGCCTCCCGCCGACGCTCAGGCCGACGAGCTTCTGCCGCTTCGCCAGGACGCGCGTCTTCTCGCGGAGAATTTCCTGGGTTTTTTTTTCGCATTGAGGATGGGGAGGGGGGGGGTGTACTCATAGTCGTGCATGCCGTAGTCGTTAGACCATTGAGGGGGGCGGAACGCATCGCGGTACAGGTTGCACCACATTTCGACATCAAACCCCCGCTAAAACTCACGCCGAATACGGCAATATTCTTGGTATATCCTAAGAGATCGGCTAACTTGTTGATGGGTTGCACAATATAACCCCCCCCCCCAAATGTGAGCCTGGTCCGGTGAGAATCCGGCGTGCTCCGTCCCGGCTTTGTAGGGATGCGAGGTCAATGGTCTAACGACCTCTCCCCCCAAATGTCCCGGCTTTGTAGGGATGAGAGGTCAATGGTCTAACAACTACGCCATGCATGACAATGAGTAACCACCACCACCACCACCACCAAACGCCCCGCTTTGCCACGGTACCCCCGGTGTGTTACACGTTCAGCGGGCGGTCATGACCACAACCAAAAACTCGACAGGGAGTAGCATCGCGATGCGGGGAATCCGGTGTTGCGAACGGCACTATTCCACCTCTCGAATAGTGCAGGCTGCGTTGCGTTCTCAGCAAACACCTCCTCGTGGTACCCTCTCCAGAGCGGTTACTATTGTACAGCTGATCCGGTCTTGTGTACGTAACTTTTGGTTGTTTTCGTGTGTGCATGGGCGGACTTGGATATAGGTGCCAACCGCACTGTATTACGTTGTGTCGCATATAGGAACTGGTAGTACCCTGGGTGGGGCACATGGTACATCCACGGGGCTCGGGTATCTGGAAGTGCGTGCAGCGCGCTCTCCCTCTCTCTCCCAGCGCCTAGTCTAAGAGCCTTGATCTCCCTGATGTCTATACCACAAGTGAAACACAAGCTCATTCAACACATGCAAGGGTGAAGCAAACACCGTGTGTTCAAAATCATCACTTCTTTTCCAATAGCTCAACCCAAAGCAGAGAGCGTGTGTGCAAGATTGAGGCCATGTGCGATACTCGAAGCAGATTTCTTCCTCTACAAATCTGACGTCCGTCATGTGCAAAAAAGTTGAGCTTCAATAGCACAGGATCGGAAGCCCGATTGTTGGAGACATTTTTATTTACATCTTGGTTCGATTTGTTCGGGTGCGCTTCCCTGACTCTCCACCCCCAGAGTCAACCGCATCCCAAGCAATCACTGGAGCCGAGATAATCACCTCACGACGGTGTAGGATAGCCGTCTACAGCAGTAGGTATGATACCTGGTAACACGTACATAACCTCTTCATTGTGGACTGGACGGCCTCACTGGCAAGATCGGTGTGAGGGCTGGGAGAAGAAGTTGCAGATAATTCGGTGGCATTGGCTCCACACTCGGTCATGGAAACCGGCTCGTTCTTTAGTCACTTGGGAGGGGTGGGCATCATTGCGAGGATCTTTGGCCATCTTGGTCGATCGAATAGTTGTTCGGCGGCCGGAACTAGAGTCAGCTGCGCTTGTCGATTTCGCGTTGGAGGGTGTCAATCGGCTTGATCCAGAAGGCTACTGCTGTACGACGAAAATATGGCGACAAAACGTCTCACACACGGTGCTTGCGACATTTCGGGCAACAGGGAGGAAACATCTTGTTGTCTGTTTAAGCGACGTATCGCGAAACAGCTGCTACGTAGATGCAACATACGAGCGTGAACCAGCAACCGAGAAAATGTACCCTTTTTGTTGTACAAGTGTACCCGCGGTGTTATATTTTTACAGTACATTTTTTTTTTTTTTTGTCTTACAAGTCAAATCAGCGCTCACAGGACTAGTGCCGTTTTACTCCAACCAGTGGTCACACAGAAGAGCCCCTCTGTGCCCTCCCCTCCTGCGGTACTTCGCCTTCGATTTTTAGGGCGAGAAGAGTTCAGCACTCTCTTCCCTCTGTGTACACACGAACTAGCACAATCCACTAGGCTAGGAGCGGGAGCGAGAGAGAACCTCACTTTGCAAGAAAAGCTCGCTTACGCCGGGATTCGAATATTGTACCTGACCTCTAGAAGGTTTCGAAGATACTATCTAGACCACCGGGGCGATAGTGCGATAGCGCGGGGGAATTCCGGAGTTTGCCTCGGGGCTCTACACGAGTAGCGTTGTTGCTTGAGGTGCTGTATGTAACAGTTTTTCCTCCCCCCTACACACGTGTCTTCCTTCTCTGCCGAGACCAACGCACCCACCTTCACCTCCCCTATCGTAGTGCTGCTCGGCAACACGGGCAGCTCAATCGTGCTTCCCTGCCATTTCGCGACGAGAGTGCAACTGGCGGCAGCAGCAGCAGTAGTAGCAGCAGCAGCACCTGCCTCACCGGCCGGAGCCGCCGCCGCCGACGCCGCAGCTGCAGCAGCAGGGGCTGGCCCTCCTTCTCCGCTTTCCTCCGAACCAGCAGGACTCTTCAGCTGTGCTAAAGCACTCATATTCGTTTCGAGGAGAAGACGGTCTGCTTCACAACTTCCTCCTGACGGGTACAGAAAGTATGTTATTAGTGAGCACGCTGTGCCTCTTTGTTCACCCTTCTTTTCTCGCACAAAAAAAAACTGGTTGTACAGACAAAGTACAGCAGCAGTATTCACAGCCACCCGTGTTTTTTATGGTTGGCCTGTGACCACGGAAGCCACCTGCGCGTCAGTTAGACCGGTACGGATGGACGCGGGTATTAGGTACGGATCAGAGCCCGGCCGCGTGGAGAAACAACACACGCACAGGGATACCTATACCTAGGGATACCTCCCCCCCCCCTCCCCCCTCTAGAATACATTTTCTACAGATTTCATTATAAACATACCCCATTTGTAAGTGGACTTTAACCGCGATCCCCCCTGTTCAGTGGCCACCTCCCAGGTGGGCAGAGCAGGGAACAAGCACTCCCGCTTGGTATGGCGCGTTTCGCGGGTCTAGGGCTGGAGCCCATCCTCGCGGATAGCGACGATGACGATGGAGACATGGCGTTCAGGAGAGGCGGCTTCGGAATAAGAGGAGGCGAGGACCGCAGAGGGAACGGAGGAGGCGGAAGTGACGCGGTGAGAAATAAAAAGTGGGCTGTGCTTAGCTGTGTGGTGTGTACCTTTGTGCTGCTGCTGCTGCTGCTTGTGCTGCTGCTGCTGCTGCCGGGATCTGGTCGGCTATTCGTTTGTCCTGCTGCCCTCGCTACCGTGCTGCTGTGTCTCGAGTCTCATGAGCGTCCCTTGCACGAGCCCATGGTGCCAAAGACCCTGCCGAGCGTAGTATCCGAACAGACAAGCAAATTACGCATCAAGGGAACGGGGGCAAAGTTGTTGCTGCCTGTGATGTGGGTATGTATTGTAACGACCAATGTTTTTTTTTTCACGCGGCAAGAAATTACGGATATTTGCAGTCGCAACGAGAACAACAGCAGGTGAAGGTGAATTGATTGCCGAGGGGCTTGGGCTGCACCGCAGTTCACGCCCACACCACTGCTGGCGTGCTGGTGTGAAGCACGGTTTGTCCCCGCGACACGAGCACTACTCCACGCCTTACCAGAAATAAACACAGGAGAGAGAGCGTCGGCAACAGCAGCAGTGCAGCCACCGCAGCACAGCAGCACAGCAGCAGCGGCAGAAAACAACAGCAGTCCTTTGCACGTTGACTGGGGTTAAAAAGAACAGCAACGAACGACTTTTTCTTTTTCGGTTTGGACGTTTGGACCACAGGTTCAAAAGAGCAGGAAATCGCAAACCATTGTACATCATGACGCATGGCCGGTGTTTACTTGCTTCAAAAATAATTATTGCAGGGGCGGCGGTGATTTTTTTCAGTTTAGCGATCCCTCTGCAGAGGAGAGCAGGGGGTGCGCATCACCCGAGCCTAACACGCGCGTGTCTACCCAAGTTGTTGGTTCCAAAGGTGGTTTGCGTGTGTGCTCGGTGTTTTATTTTTTTCCGTTGTTGTTTTGATGCGCCCTCCCGTCGCACGTGTGCGCCAGGCAGCCACGGAACAACCACCGCCCCCCCCAAAAGTTGTGTCGTGCTCATACATGCCTCTTCCGCCGCGGCTGCCAAGCAAAGATGTAACTATTTAATAAATCCTTCCGACGAAGAATGCCTTCTGCGGCGGAGGAAACATGTCGTAGTACAGGGACGCAGGGCGGGCGGCGGCAGATAATGTGTTGTTGTTCGGTAGCCACAACAAACGACCCGCGGCGCAGACCAGCCTCAAATGTCCAACCAATTCTGACCCCCGCGGACTATATGTAGGCGCCACAACAAGAGAAAAGAATGGCCCTGTATCCATACATACACACCCTTACAACGCCAAAATGAACGGGTGTTTCTTTTTACAGGTGTGACATGTTTGATACTACGCTCGTTCAAAGATGCACTGGAACTGCTGCTGTTGCCCGTGGCAGATAGATACATCAATCGCACTCGCCCCCGAAAGGCGGCCAGCCGGCGGTTGGGCCTTGATGTGCGTTCAAGGGCAAGCTTGTAGGTTGGTTGGGAGGGCGGGCGGGCGGGCGGGTGTACAGCAGCCAGAGATCAAATCCATGGAAATGGAGCGGGAGGTTGTTTGTCTGCAGATAATAGGTCCCGCGCTAACCGTTGCAACGTGTATGCGATGTACGTCAAGTCTTGTTGGTGGTGGAGATCCGGAAGGGCTCTCGGCACGAACGGAGATTGCTGAACTGCGGTCAAGCGACGGGGGGGGGGGAGTGTTTCCTTTCTTACGTGAGGTGTTCTTTGGTTCCGGGCGACTACCTACTGCTGTACACCCCATGTGCCCTTCGAAAGCGAAGAAAAAGACGTCACGTGTGGACAACTGTCTGCTGCTGCTGCTGCTGCTGCTGCTGCTGCTGCTGCTGCAGAGTCGCAGCACTCAATACCTTGTACAAGAATACGGCAGCGTCCCGGCCGTCCCTCTGAGAATTTGAAATATTTGGGAAAACCACTTGTCAGCGTTGAGCTCGAGATTGACACGCAGTTTCGGATGGGTTGTTCAATTTTCAGATTTACACAGAAATATGCATACAGCTTTCAATGCATACAACTTTTGAAAAATGGGGGCAGCGTGCAGTCCTGGGGGCAGTCCTGGATGCCCCAAGTCTCAAAGAGTTTTTCCGATTTTTGGCGACTGCTGTCTGTTGGGGACATTTGCAGACATCGCCCATGGTGTCTCCATGAAAATCCACTCACGGAAAAAGACTCCACCACATCCCGTTCGACTGTGGGTATGTGGGTATATCTCGAATGGGTAGTCTTTCTGAGTGTGTATTTTTTTTTCCTTAATTAGTTGAATGAGACTCTGTAGCCTGCTGTCGATGCTGCGTGTACCACAACAAACAGGCCAGGGTGGCGCGGTGTCGAGCCCGGCATGTTTTCGGCATGCTGTCTGTGGTGGTGGCGGGGGGACAAAACCTCATATACCCAGGGCGGCAGGAAAGAGCTTGACTTGCAAGTAGTTCGGCCGAATGCCCCACACACAAGGGCGGTCATTGTCACTCACGCCAGGCAGAGCAACAGCGCGAAAGCGTTGCTTGGACGAGTGGTCGTTGTGTGCCCACCACCCTGTCCATGTGATGTGATGTGATGTGATGTGCATCAAGAGCGCACCGCGATCCCTCGGCTCTTGGCGCTGCTTGTATCGTTCTACACGAGCTGCTCTGCTGGGTTGTGTCACTCGCAGTCAGGTCAAACCCGCATTTCGCCCCCTCAACGGGGGCGCTATTGTAGCCTATATAGCCCGAAACAATAGGATGGGCCTGTAGCCATTTGGTTGGTTAGGTTATGTCTTGGGTGGGTCCTGGTGTACGGCAGGCGGTCCGCCCTTGCGAAAGTTAAAGTTTGCTGGGAGAAAGAAAACCTTTCGAAACAAGCAGACCTTCAAACTTGTTACTCCGCGTATCTTCGACATCAATCGGAGCTTCTTTTCTCGAAAACTGTGTCCAGTAGGCGGGACTGTAAGGACCGTTCCAAGGAAGGGCCTCCAAACCTGAAGACTTACATGCATTTTTCTGGACACCTCCCCAGAGTCCGAAACGGTCTAACTTTGCTTGATAGAGAGCAACGAGGTTGTTCGCATCCATTTTGCTGTATTTCGACGGCATAGAAACATCTTTTTGTTTTCTCTGCGGCACATACGGGTGCCGACTTGTACCTACTTTGCACATGGGTGATCTTCTTTTTTGTACATGTTTTTTTCGTTTCACAAACGGATGCTTGATACATGCGTGTATATCCAACCGGATAGCGGTTATATCCAACCGGAGATAACGTTGTCTTATTTCGCGAATAGCCCGGCGGTGTTTCGGGGAGACTCCTGGACCAAACGGATCTGGCCCGGCCACGCGCGCACGCCAGCGCCGTGCAATGAACGGAAACAGTTTCTCCAATTCAGTCGCTCTTTCGCGCTGCTGGTTGCCGGAGTGCCGTTCCTCTCAACTCCTGGTGCTGCTTCTAATGCCCCTATGCAACCCGCGGCAGCGAGATGCTTGGGTCGAGTTTGTGGTGGGGAGGTGGACCCATACCCGTGCATGACGCAGTCGTTAGACCATTGACCTCGCATTCCTACAAAGCCGGAACGGAGCATGCCGCTGGGGGGGAGGCCGGGGTCATGGCTATGTGCGGAGGCGATGTCACGGTGTCCATCTCATGTCTGACAACGGTCCGTCGTACCGTGTGATTTCGTCTCGAATCGTATTGTGGACACCTGAAGTTTTTCAACGACAACACTGCTCTGTGTATGTATCTACCTGCTGCACAGGTTTGCCCGTACTTGAACACGGAAGGGCTCAAGCAGCAGGAGGGGGGTGTTATCTACCGTATATGGTGTTTCAACACTAGGATTTAGAGTGGTATAGCAGCTGTATTGCCACGTTCACTGAAACCCCCTCTCACGGCCATCGGTGCGTTGCTATTTCGCCGCAGATGACCGACACTTGGCAGAACGAGTTCGGCAACATCAAGGTCAACGACCGCGGCATGCGGGTCGCGCAGAGGGACGGGCAGGAGGAGCTTCTTTTGGAGGGGCAGGTGTGTTCAGTCGTCGCGTGCGTTTGTGTGTGAGTGTACATGTGGTCTTGTGTTTTGTTTTCTTTGATGCATTTCCTGTTGTGGCGGCAATCGTGGTGGGGGAGGGGTAAGCCGTGGGGGGTGCACTTGTGTGTTTCTGTTTAACGAGCGAAACGTTTTGCGGCACTCGCTATTGTAGTCGCCAAATGGTACATGCCGAAGTCTCACGGCCTGCGGACTGAGAAAGGAAAACCGTTTCCTGTCCGCGGAGCTCCCCCCCCCTCCCCCCCCCTCCAGCTTGTGTGTGGTGTCGTGGGCACGCACGGATTGCTTTTTTGCCGCACATGCATACATTCACAGAAATTGAAACGATTCCCGTTCGAGATGTAAGCATGAAGGCTTTTCAGTGAGTGGGAGAACACCCTGCTGGATGCTGGGCTTGTTTCGAGTCTATTCAAGCCTATTCCATGCATTTTCTCATTGATGCCAGCTGGTGCTAGTCAAGAACATCTGTATTCGGTAGGTGAATTTTTTGTTGTCGTCCTAGTGGTTCTGTTGCAATAAGGTTAACTTGCTCTCGTCTGAAGGTTTGACTGTTAGCGTCCGCATTTTTTTTTTTTTTCTTAACGCCTGGTTGAGTTTCCGATGGAGATAGAGATGTGCAAATATGCACCTGGAAAATGTTTGCGAGCAAACGCCTTTGCGTTGCCCTGTTGCTGTCATTGTCACTCTGATGCCTCCGCGCTTTTCGTCCGTGTCTTCTTGGCTTGATTTATTCATAGTATGTACACCGATTCTTTTAGACCTGCATGCTACGCTGGCAAGGACCGACTCAACAGAGAAGGAAGCAACGAAGTCCTTGTTGCGTGTGCATGTCCTACGCTCTAATGTGTGCGGCGTGCGAACAAGAGCAAATGCAAGACCCCGGTCCGTGAGGACAAGGGACCACCAACATGCCTGTGTATGCCCTACACTCTTCATGTGTGTGTGTCCTACACCCTTCCACGTGCTCCCAGGTGGTGCCGGATCAGCTGGTGTTTGGAGACGGGCGTATTATCGGTAGGGGTGCGTGCTCTGTGGTGAACCTGGCGAGACACAAGGACACCGGCCAGCTCTTCGCGGTGAAGGTGTTCTCGCTTCTCGATCGCGAGAAGCGGCGGCAGCTGGATAGGGAGATCGGGACCCTGCTCAGGTCCTTGGAGAATGGGTGAGACGGACGAAGAGACGGCGGATGATATTCAAGAATCTGCTGCTTTGGCGATAGAGAAAGACAGCGCGGATGATCCAGAATCTGCCGTTTTGGCAAGAGACAGAGATGATAGCTCCACCAACTGCTGCTGCTGCTGCTGTTTTGTGTCCCCGCCTGTTGCAACTCTTTCGCCCCCTCTCAACACGAGCAGGTGCTGCAGCCACTTGGTCGACTTCTTCGGCGCGTTCAAGAGGCCCGACGGGAGCATCAGGGTGGTCCTGGAGTACATGGACAGGGGCAGCCTCGCGGACGTTACCGAGTACCGGACGCACATACAGGCTCGATGGAACGCCCGGCGAAAAGGCGTCGAAAGAGAGTCGAAGGAAGCGGGACCGACGGAGGTGGCGAAGAAGGCGGGGGTGCATGAAGGGGCAGCCGGCAAGGTCCCTCAGATCGGAGGTGAAAACGGGGAAGGATTGTCTCACAGGACGGAGACGTTCCCGTTGTCTGATGAGGCGGAGGTTGCCTTCCCGCCTGAGAGAGGGCAAGACGGCGGTGGGTTGGAGCGGCTCGCAACGCATCCCCAGGTTTCGGACGACGACGACGACATGCCGGCGACCTTGGAGCGATTAGGTGGCGGCGCCGGAGAAAAGACGCAGCAGCGGCAGCAGACCCTCATCATGGGGAGCAGCGGCAAAAACGGAGGCGGCGGCGGCGGCGGCGGCATCGCCGCCGCCACGAGTGGTAGCGTGGTGAAGAACCTAGCGGTCAACGGTAGTGGTAGTAGTAGCGGTAGCAGAAGCAACGGCGTCGCTCATCAGACCCGACAGCACCGGCAGCATCGAACGGGGTCATTCTCCAGCAATTCTTCCATAGGGGAGAGTCAGCAGCAACAGGAGGCGAACATCTCCCTGGAGCCCCTGATGCTGTCGGAGGGGGCGTTGGCGACGCCGGCGGCAGGCGTCAAGGAGACCCTTCTCGAGCGAGGGAGAGGGCAGGTCGAAGCGCCGTGGCTCGATGACAATGGAGACGGGGGGGCGGGGGGGAGGCCCGCGCTGCGGTTAGAGCAGGAGCTGGAGGAAGACGATGTGAGCCTTGCTGTGTGCTTGCGACGTTTGTTTGACGTCGCATCCCTACAACAAGGTTTCTTTATTCTTGAGGTCCCGGCGCCCTGATTGCTCCTCACACTTTTTTTTTTTTTGGTTGGCGCCGTGTTTCTGGATTCCGAAAGTCGACCTCTCGCGACGTGCGGGTCGTTGTGGTGGGAACACGTCATCCTCCAGGAAATCGGTCTATTTCCTCTCAACATTCCGCCGCGGTATACTTGTACCCCTTGTTTGGGTCGAGTCATCGTACCACCCACAACTTGGGGTTACACTCCACCCCGATGTTTTAGTACTCGTACTACCGGAGCTGTTGCTGGGCCCTGTGTAGTATACCAAATCATTATTATAGTCAGTTTGATTTCGGCTTCTACATGCCCCTTGTTCTCTCTCCCGCTCTTGTGACAGCAGAGGTGGTGAGTGGATGTGGGTGGGGAAGCGAAAGTGCCGGGTCGCACGAACCCCATGGCTAACTTTTATAGAAGCCAATATTAAACCGTTAGACATGTCAGCGCTGACTAGTCTAATGGTTTGAGTTCCGCTTCTATTGTAGGGAGAGCCGACAATCAAGCACACTCTGCCCCGTTGGCACGGTTGTTCGGCATGGCGTTAGTCAGTACCTGCTGCTGGGTTTGACAACCGAGATCAAACCGTTACAAGACCAGTCACCGCCCACTGCTTTGGGGCCGGCTGCTAATAGCAATGCATATCCTTCGACTAGTCGTGGCTGACTGATGCAAGGCTTTACTTTGGTTGTTCATGACGTAAGCCATGAAGACCAGTTGGCGCCTGCGTGTCTAGGCTAGTGCTTTGATTTTTTTCGCTGATAAAAGTACTTGTGCTTTTAAGACCAGTCAGCGCTGACTGATCCGAGGCTTTGATTTTGGTCGCTGATAAGATAGGAGCCAATTTAAGACGAGGCAGCGCTGACTGGTTTAGTGTTCGGTTGCTGTATTCTTCGTCCTCGTTCCACCAGAGACCGGAGGCCGCGGAGAGGAGGCGGGTGGAGGCGGCGGCGGAACTGGAGAGGCAGAAGGAGCAAGAGGAGTGGGACAGAGCTTTCGAGGAGGAGCTCGTGCAGACGGGCCTTCCCGAAGATGTGGTCGCGGCGTGCGTCTACCAAATACTGGGGGTGAGGCGGGTTGGTGTGGATATCCGCGGGTGTCGGTGTTGGCGCTCGAGATGTTTTGTGAGGTGTACAGGGTATTTTCGACTACTGCTGCTGTGTTTTGTTGGTGCTGAGTGTTGTGCCATGGGGTGTAAGTGGCTTGGGGATGTGTGGCGCGTGGACGCACCGCGTGTGGCATGGGGGCGGTGTTTGGTGCTCTTGTTGTGCTTTTCGCCGCCGCCACCGCCCCCGCTGCTGGGGCCAAACGGTCGCTTCTCAAAAGGAAATCGTGGCACATTGTTTTTACATCTCTGGCGTATGAGTTGCGTTTCAAGTCGATCTGGCCGTGATTGTGCTGAGTTGCCTGTCCCGTTGGGTGGCTGCTCTTGTGTCTTGCTGGTCGGATTGTGCGTCCGTTCTCATGACCGTTGTTGTTGCCGCCGCTCTGTCGGTGTGTTTGTCTGATCACGGCGTGACAGGGCCTGACGTACCTCCACGAGCACAATCAGCTACACCGCGACGTTAAGCCGAGCAACATCCTTCTCAACGCCAGAGGGGAGGTGAGTCCGTCAAGCACCGAGACAGATGAGAGAGAGAGATGCCGTGCTGGCGTCTCGTATCTAGCAAACCCGTTTGATGGTTCCACCCCTATCCTCGCTCACAGCACGCGGCTGACACCGAAGCAAGGACCTTAAGAAGGGTACGCGGGAAGGCTCGCGCGGCTCGTGTTGTTGTTGGGGTGCTGTACGACACGACACCCTAAACGTAATGATGGATGGGGACATGCCAAGAGAGATGTTTTTGTTGTAGCCTATGGCAGCGGGCATCACTCTTAGCGTCGTCCGCCAGTGCTCAGGCGGTCCAACAACACCTTCCCCACGGCGAGGCGCCCAACAAGCGGGTGTTTTCGGGAAATAAAAAGACGCATCCCTTTCGACTGAGGTTATATCTCGAACGGGTAGTCTTTCTGTCAGGTTGTGTTTACTTTCTAAATGAGAAAAAAAAAATTGTCTCACCCCCGCAGGAGGAGATAGTCCACGACAACAATTCCCTTTGGACCGTCCCCTAATCTACACACACCACACACACACATCCGCGTGCCCCCCTTTTCCCACACCCGCCCTATTCGACCCAAAAGGTTAAACTCACCGACTTCGGCATTGCTCGAGAGCTTGACCACGCTGGGGCGATGGTGGAGACGGTGGTGGGAACGGTCAGGTACATGTCGCCGGAGAGGCTCCACGGGGAGGCGTACGGGCGGCCCGCGGACGTGTGGGGGCTCGGTTTGGTGATGATCGAGTGCGTCACGCAGGTGTGTGTATGGGGGGGGGTTGTACTCATGGTCGTGCATGCCGTAGTCGTTAGACCATTGACCTCGCATCCCTGCAAAGCCGGGACGGAGCACGCCGGGTTCTCACCGGACCAGGCTCTCACATCACCAAGCGCGAAGCGCCGTGAGGTATTCGGCGAGTCGCATGAAGGGTGCGCTGCATCCTGCTAAGGGTGTTCGGCATCTTGTGCTTACTTCGTTGCGTACGGATGACAGCTGCGTATGACTTAATTTAATTTCTGGTGCTTTTACTTCCGGAGACAGTTATAAGCACTGTGTAACTGCCTCGAGGATGCTTTACCATGTTACCACAACGTGGTGCGATCATCCCCCTTGCGCGGAGTGAGGGTTCTCGACCCCGCACAACATGATCTACTGGACCACCATTCATGGTTACCGCAAAAAAAAAAAAACAGAGGTAAAAAAAAAAACTGTAACCTGGTTGCCGAGTTCACGAAGTGAGTTGGCTTGTTTTACAACGTCGTTGCCAAGCGACGAAAACCCAATCCCGATGGCAAACACCGAGGGGGGGGGCTTGTTTTACAACGTCGTTGCCAAGCGACGAAAACCCAACCCCGATGGCAAACACCGGGGGGGGGGTACTCATAGTCGTGCATGCCGTAGTCGTTATGATCGAGTGTGTGTGTGTCTCTCTTGATTAGCATCGACAGCACTACCCTGCTGAGGTCAGTCATGCGGCGGAATAAGAAGTCTCTCGTGTGTGTAAAGTATGTATGTATTTCTTACTTTCCATTAGTTAGCATAGACCGCGCTAACCGGCTGACCAATGAAAAGACGTCAGTCTCAGTGCGGTTGTTAACACAAAATGATTGTACAGGCCACAATCTGGGACCCTTGTGTTCATGGTTGTATATGTGTGTTTGTTTATCTGTCGTGTCTATTCTTGCGCAAGTCTGCACATCCCGACCTTGCCGTACATGTTTTTGACGTACCAGCCAGGGTCACACAGGACACAGGAGGAAGACAAACGTTTTTGTTGTTCAACTTTGCCCACGGCGGTGCTTCCAATCGTTTTTTTCATGTAGTCCGTTCTCTCTTACCACTTCTGTGTATACTCCGAATTCTATCGCTGCGTGTAGGTTTACGAGGTTATACCCACCACAATAGTGTGTGGAGTAAGGTCGAAGGTTTTGAGGCTGGTTCTGCTGCAGAGTTTGTGTGGGCATGCAGGCGGACGTGCTAGATAGCGCGGTGGATTATTGAAACCGCCGTTGGTCTAGGTTTTTTGTGTGAGCGATCAAGTGCTCCACCTGGGTGGGAGACATGGGCGGTGTGGAATGTGCGGCATGGCTATGGTTGTGTTTCGGGCGTATGGTCGCGACGGCCCCGGGGACAGAAGAAAGCTAGGCAGGGAAGAGCACACGGTACGCGTGCCCGCCCCCTCCTCCGTTGCACAGCTATGGTGGGGCAGGCGGAGACTAGGTGTAGCAGCGTTTTTTTGTTGTGGTTGAGGGCAGGGTTGTGATTGCTTTGGTCTGTTTCCCGGGACATAACTCGGTGCTTGCTAGCTTTTGAAACCCTCGGGCGTTTTTTTTGTTTTTTTTTCCTGTGACAACACTGGTGTGTATGCGGATAGGGTGATAGGGGTAGTAGGGGAGAGGAGCTGAGGTGTCAGGTATGGGTATGTCGGTGTCGCACTTTTCGGGGTTCGCCAACCGTAACGCTAACGCCAACGCTATCCATGATCGCGGCGAAGGGCTACCTGATGCTGGGTAAGGGCCACCGGTTGTCGATTTAATTGTTACGGTCTGGCGGGAGGTCGGGCGAAGAACTCGGCTTGTTGTTAAGGGTCGAATACAAAAGGCTTGGTGTCGTGTGGTCCCGAGTGCTTGCTGCTTTTTGCCTTCTCCAAGAACGAGGCACAAAAACAAGACGGCAATCGTACCACCCCAACCACGTGTTGACATCACCTGTCTCCCCCCCCCCCCCCGCCAAACCCCTTTCTCAATTGTTTCCCCCCGCGGGAGAGCAGGAGGCCCCCTACGCCGACGGTTGTTCCCAGATTGAGATCCTGCAGACCCTGAAAGAGCACGGCGGCAGCGGCCTCTTGCCCTCCGGCACGGAGGACAGAGTGCCCCTCAGCGATGCCTTCGTCGGCTTCGTGGGCGACTGCCTAATGGTCAACCCGGAGGTGGGTGGGTGCGTGTAGGGGCGGAGTGGATGTGTGTGTAGCGGGAAAGGGGGGGCTTTGGACGCGCGAGGAAGGCTGCAGATATGAGACTAACGAGGATCGCGACCCCAAAGTGGGTGGTTCGAATGTGTTTCGTGGGATGGAGCTGTGGGCGTGCAAGGAAGACTGAAGAGACGAGACTGCGGCAGTCGACACAAGATAACACACCCCCTGGGCCGATTTTCAAAGCTCGATTACGCCACGACCAAGGGGATGATTTCACGAAACGATACAGTTTCGGAAAGTTCTCGACCAGACGGCTTCAACGCCGCCGTTTTCGGCGATTTGACTCTTTCTGCTGTTGAGAAATCGAGCTTTGAACATCGATGCAGGGGGTGTGTTATCTTGCGTCGCATACGGTAGCAAGGGTCTGTGGGTCTGGTAGAGTGGTTTGAATGTGGTTTGTGGGATGGGGCTGTGGGCGCGTAAGGAAGACTGGAGAGATGAGACTAGCAAGAAACGACAGGTCGAACACCATACCCTCGCACACCAAATTTAGAGAGGTGTTTCATTTGCAGTGTATTCATCATCAGTGTTGGTGTGCCTCTATCTTGTCCCTGGTCACAATTTTTTTGCTGAAAAGATTACAAAAGCCGGGGGACTTGGTATTATAGTCCGGAGCCTCTGTTTGTTGTGCATATCCTGGGATGTGTGAATTCCCTCGGCCATGTGAATCAGTTGAATGCCTCGGAGAGTTTTTTCCGTGCAATTTTCAGTGCTTCGGCACGGTCTGAATCAATGGAGGGCTAAGTTCGTGACGGTGGCCCTTCCCGCAAGGTAGATTTTTTTTTTTTTTTTACTATATGTAGGGATTGTTATCCCTCTCAACGGGCGTCCTCTTCTTCTCTTCTCTTGGCTACAGGTAGCAGCTGGGCGTTCTCGCACTCTTCAACCATGGTACAGGACTCCTGAAGTATGAAAGTTCATGTTCGTGCTTTCTAGAGCCCGCACAAACTTGAATCATGAACGCGAAGCATTATCTACGCGCGTTCCATCTCAAGCGATACTTGGAGGACGGTATTGAGTTGTTCCCGCCTACACTGGTTGCACACCTCCCACCCGCGCTAAAGACCGGGGTCATCCAAGGACTTCCTTCGGGAGAAATTAAGTTTGTGATAGAACAGGGAGGGGGCACGCAGACTGTATTCCCTAACCCTGACCCAACTTCCTCGATTGCATGCTTTATCCAACATATCTATTTCGTAGAAAAACCCTTCGAAGTCTACTGAAACCAATCAACAATGCCACCGACCACGACCCGTTTTCTCGGCCCGCCACCCCTAGGACCGGCTTTCGACGGCGGAGCTGTTGAACTCGCGCTGGTTCGTGGAGCAGGGGGTCCACGGTCGCGAGGCGGCGGTCGAGCTCATGGCGGAGTACCTGGAAGGGTTGTACGGCCCGCACGCCTTCAAGTACTTCGGGGACCCCGCGGCGCTCGAACCGCCGGCCTTGTAGCGAGAGCGAGAGGGTCTTTGTCTCCGTCGAGAGTGTGTTGGTACTCGCGTCCGGCCACGGCTGCCTCAGCGTGTTGGTGTCTACGCGCTTACGGTCGTGTGTGCCCTCCCTGCTGGCGGGGGTTTCGAGTGGACAGGAATGCCCCGGGGGCATCTCGGGATATGTTAGTAGCTGCACTGCTGTAGAAGGGGTTTCGGCACCCAAAGGGCGCGGTGTATCTATAAATTGGTGGTGGTGGTGTGATGGTGGTGGTGTTAGCGAGACCTCCAATGAGAGATTGTTTTACCGGCCGTTTTCGAAGATCGAAGATCGGTCGCTATCACGGTGCTTTGGAGCGTCCAGTTTGATGTGTGGTTGGTTGGCACTATTATAATAGCGTCCTTGAAGGTCGAGAGTGATGTCGTGGAGTTCATGTACTGTACCGGAGAGGACGGCGGCGGGTTGTGACGGTGCATGGGAGATGTAGACGACAACCGGTGATAGGATTAGACGAGTAGACAGGAGTAGGGGCGTGGGGGCACAGCGAGAGCGAGTGCGCCGTACGCCGGTCGTCCGCAAAGTTTTTATAGAAGACAAAAAAGAAAAAGCGGCCATAAATTCACGTTTGTTCTTCGTCGATCGACCGCTTTTTCGCTGGAGCAGACCTTTCGGACGGGCCATGAGCGCGGTGCCGTCGAATCTCTCGGCAAACGAAAAGCGTTTGTTCGAAAGAGTACCCAACTAAACGATCGGTCGAGATTATTTACGTTGTGCCGAGGGATGTTTTGTGCCGAATTTCCGGCCTTTAGCTCGCCGATCGGCGTGCTCTACAACGAGAGGGGCATGAGCGAACACGACTGATCCATTGGTTTGTGGCGTGGTTTAATCTCCTCAGCTTGAGGAGGGTTCATTTTTGTCACGAGGGTGTGTGTGCTCACTCCGTGCACAGAGTGTCTGTCTACGATGACAAGAGTTCCCAAACGTGGATTGTAGCAGACTACATAGACGTGTTATATTTTTTTGCGCTGCATGTCTCGGGGGTCATTTCTGGGTGTTTGCGTATAACGCCTCTTCTCCGGCGCAGGCCGTGGCGTCGTACACGACCGCCTTTTGTGGGTCTGCCCGACCTACTACAGTAACCTGTGCCGTCGATGGGCTCGTTCGTACCGGCCATGCAGCAATCAAAGAAAAACACGTTAGTGCAAGGTGCACTGCCTAGGGAAGCACATACATCCGTGATGCACGGCCGTCTTCCCGATAGCACTCTGCTTGCTTCCCTCGAGAAAAAAAAAGGGGGAAGCGCCCCTTACAAGCCTGTCTCTGCGGCCGAGAAGAAAAAACGCCGAGAAATGTGCGCCAAGATACCCTGGCAAACACACAAAGTCGTCTTTCGTTTATTTCCAGAGAGAATACCTCCCCACACTGGTGACCAGAGAAAAAAAGCGAACACGATCGACGCTTGAGTCTTTTGGGTGTGTTCCTCTACAGCACCCCTCTTGGCACTTGCCTCAAGCACCGGTGTACTGTAGCAGCGAGGCCTGGGTGTCCCTCGGCAATCATTTAATTTGTCATCCATCCCGTCAGTTTTTAAGCCACCTGGGCGATTGATTGAGTTGCTGGCCTCACCAAAACACTCCTGTCTGGAAAAGAGTAGCACGGCTCGGGTTGACGTCGGGGGGCTGCTACCTCCGAGCGACTTTAGGAAACCCGTGGCTTGCATCTTACTGCACCTTCCGTGACGCCGGCTGGCATCGCCAACGCACACGCCGCCAGGGACGATATTTTCGGGTCCAGGGTCACGTGAGGGACATACGCCCACCATAGTGTGAAATTTTGAGCCTCCGCCTCTGGTCCTTTCAGAAATTGGTCTTTGGTGGAGGGCTTACATACGTCTGTCGCCATGATCAGCAGTCATCCGGATGGACAAACAACCGAACTCGAAAGGGATCCAACTGGTCGTTATCACTTGTGCGGACGACACACACACGCATCGCGAGCATGAAGGACAAAACGTAAGGCACTCGGGAAAGTTGAGGTCTTGGTTCTCCAACGGCCGTCGTCTACGACTGCACGCCAAAGCACACGCTATGGGCGAAAAAATAAACACGCCAACTGCAATCCCGAAGGCGGATGGCCTTGCATACCCGTCTAGCTTAGCCCTCTCAAGAACAACCGTATTCAATCATGTAAGGCTGCCCGTGAGTCGACCGTATACCTGCACGTGAGGCAACCCTGCGGGCTACTTCGCGAACTTGACACGCCTTAGCCGCGGGGAGCTAACGCCACCTGCCCCCCCCGGTGAGGGTAGTTGGTAGCAGGGACCAAAATAACAAAAATCCCCCGCCTACGACACGACAGGCAGCCCCAACTCTAGACCAACAGCATTGGGCGGTCGCACCAGCCACACGGATCGCCCCGTACCCACCCAAAAACACTTCCCACGTCCCGCAACTCGACCAACTTGAGCAAATTGAGAGAGAGCCGATTGTACGCGGGATTCGGTGTACAGCTTAGCCACCCCGCCCACCAACACGAGACGACAACAAATCAAGCGTTGACGAAATATAATAGCCACAGTCGAAGCGACGACACCGCGATCGACCAATCAATGCGGTCGCTGGGTCCGCCGGTTCATTTCCTTCCTTTTATTGTCGTCTTCACGTTAAACGTCGTTCCGGTCTCTACTCAGTACCTTCTAATGCTCGTGTACTGGTCCGACTGCCTTCCGTGGTCACAGACCAACTGACTACCAAAACTATTTCCTCCATGAAAACAAAGGTGGTGTTCTTCATTTAAGCTGTCTCAAGGACTTTCCAGTCGCCCCCCATGATGACCTCCATCTCCTTGCTCTCGTCTACAGCCGGCTTGGCCGCCTGCTCCGCGTCCCACTCGGCCGAGGCGAGCGCCTCGATCACCGACGCCTGGCACGAGGGCAGCGTTGCCATGACAGCAAGCAGCAGCAGCAGTGACAGGGAACAGGCGGCAGGCAGGGAGAACGGTAGTCAGAGTCAGGGCGAGACGAGGACCTACATTTCGTGCAAGAGCCGAAGGCGTGCGTATGTTTTCGACCTATTTATTATGGCGACAGCAGTCCACCCATTTTTCGTGGTGAGACGTGAACTAGACTTTTCAGTGTATGTTTTCGTACAACTACAACCATCCAGGGTCAAACAGGAGGGGGTACACAGTAGATAAAAAAAAAAAAAATGTCCTCGACACGGCACCAAACCCTCCCCCGGTTCTCACGCCTTCGACAAGAACGCCCGGGATTCGCAACGCACAAAAAAAACCTACACTCTCGACAACAAGAGGCTGCCGACGGCACCACCTACGCAACTCGGTTTTCGATCCCTCCAAAAAAACCAAGAATGTACAACAACCGGGCGGGAGCCCCGAACAAGAACGCACAAAACCGGTAAGGACAGAAGGAACGGCCCGCCAAAACTCCCTGTGGCCCGTCTACTAGCTAGGGTAACCACAGAGCGGCGGCGGCCAACACCTAGCTTGAAGGGATACCGGGCGGCAACTCCATGGCATGCCCACACACCAGCATATGCGAATGATCTATATCCATGATCTATCAGAACGCCTGAACATCCAAAAGAGTTGACCACCGAGAGGCGGCGGCTTCCTGCGAAGGACATACAGCAACCAGTCTGTCCGTGCACACCTTGGTGTCGATCCCCTCCTCGGGCTCCGACTCGAGCTCGAACACCGGCGGCGCGCCCGGGAAGTTGCCGTTCGTGTTGACCTCGATCGAGTAGTCCGTTGGCTTGCGGTTCCGGTCTGACAGGCGAGACTGTCAAAAAAAAACGACGACAAAAAAAAGGGGTGATTTTTTTCAGGAGGGGGGCGGCGGATGTACTCTGATGATTTGATGTGAAGACCATTGACCACGCGTCGTCGAGAGGACGGAGTCCTGGTCCCACAGGACCTACCGATGGCCCAGAGTTCCCTCCTACTTTGCCAAAGGTGCCTCCAAAAATGTTTTCACTTTCCTATCGATAGAACTTCCCGCCTTTGCAGCCCACTTTCTCTATGCCCCAGCGTAGCGGGAAGGGTGAAGCGGGGCGGGAAGCGTGCTGTAGTACAAGTAAAACCCTAGGGTTTCTTGTGGCACAGTACGAAACATTCCAGCGCATGGTAAACAAGACTGTGACCGTTGGGCAAGGGGAGGTGGCCCACTGCGGCAATCGAGCGCAAGTTCCGCAACCACCGGGTCGGCTAGGCAACACGCCTGCTTCACCCGAAACCCTTCCGAGCCAAGAATCTGACCAACGGGTTCTCAAGCGGGCAGGCCGATTTCGAATGTACAATTACTTGAAAGTATAAGCCTCAAATAAGACCATTAGACGTGTCAGTCATGGCTATTCAAGTGGTTTGTGACTTGGGCTTGAGTACATGTCAATTGCACGATACGTATCGGGGCCAACAAAAACAAAGGATGGAGTACATACATGAAGCAAATATTGCTTGCAACACCCGAAAAACAAAGGCAAACGCAGCATGCATCCATAGCACACCCTAGGACGCCGCAGAGCTGACCAAAAAAAGTGACACGCAACAGCATTCGCAAGAGCATCGCGACAACGGACCCACCTTCGACGGCGACAGCAACCCCAAAACCAACTGCCCACCACCAAAAACAGCGCCAAAAAGCACTCAAGACAAGGGGAGCAACGGCCCTAACACGTCACCAGCACCACCAGCACTAACGGCAATGACAAGCGCCGATACATGTAATGCAAGCCAGAGTCCGAGTCGGTGGGGTGCATGCTCACCTTGCGCGGCCTGTTCTTGACGTGCTTTTTGGTGCCCTTGTTCTGCCGGTGCTTGGCCATTTCAAGAGCTCCGTTCCCGCCCCTCGCTGCTGCTCGATCGCGGACGATTGCGAAACACAGAGAAGAGCAGAATTTTCCAGGAAATTTCCGGGTCCCCGATTCGACGCGAGCAACAGGCACGACCGACGGCATCAAACGTGTGAGAAAGGGAGAACCATATCGGCACCCACGGGAGTTCCAAGAGCGAGGAGAAGGTAAAACGGCGTTCAGAGGCAGCCACGAAGCCTGGTTAAGTTGGGTTCGAGCGTACGCCTGACACAAGCCGACGCGCACGAAACATGTGGCTCGGAGAAACGCAACAAAGCGTGGTCAAGTTGTCCCGTTCGTCAAGTCCCTTGCTCTGACGATTGCAGGGACAGTAGTAGTTGCACAGGAAAATTGTCAAAATCTATCATTGCTCCGCAGGCTCAAGTCGTGAACGACGGCAGGGGAGCGGGTCCGCGAGTGGTTGGAATGATACACTCGGCGAGGCCGAAACAAACGAATCGCCGAATAGCCTGTTCACGCCGGGGGAAAAGTATCCCATAGAAAACTGGATGGGCCAAGCAGGCTCCATAGGAACAAGCACTGAAGGGCTGCTTTGGACAAGCGCAGGAGTGTCTAGGCCTGCGAGCGTTTGCAACCACGGGGGCGAAGTCGACTATTTACTGCTGTACAGGACAAAGGGAGCGCCCTCAGCTATAAGGCTTGGCGTCGCTATCCTGCAACCCCACAGCTACACTTATCTTTGGCGTGGGATGATATCGCATCGTCCCACTACCCGCTTCTGGTCTTGTACGCTCGCCGTATGCTAGTTTTGGCATCTTCACAAGCCGAAATCAAACCGTTAGACTACGTACCAGCGCTGAAAATTGGTCTTAACGGTTTGATCGCGTCTGCGTTCAACACTGGCACGTTGAGCGGGAGCTTTTTCTAAAACAATACATACACACGGATCCCAAGTCCGAGATGGGTGAAGCCCCCGTTACCCATCACAAGGGAAAGACGTTGGTACCATTCTCTCTCTGATCGATCAAGCTTACTAAAAGGCGTGCTGATCTTTGCGGGATGGAAACGTGAGAGTTGGGGGCGCGCGGCGCGGGGCTTTCGTTACTGATCAAAAATACATTTACGCTGTAGACACAGAGCTAAAAATAAATATTACTTTTGGGCGTGTACAGGCAAAAGACGCCAACAGGCGCTCCAGCAGCAAGCACAGAGGAGACACGACCCCAAAACGGGGTTATCTCTCCAAAGCGACAGGCTATTGACCAATTTAGACTACTACACGAAGTTGCTCTTTGATCGAGGAAGAGCACGAGCGCTGAATAAGGGAGAGCTCTCAGGCCAGTGTATATCAGCAGCACGGCAAGGCGTCACGTGCAAGCTATTTTGGATGGTCAATGAAGTCAACTGGAACACGCCGTAGGCTTGGCCTTCTTCGTGGGTCGAGAGCACTGAGCCAGAGAGCTGTAACCTTCGCTTCTCCTATGCAAAGCTAAAGTGTTGTACCATAACGGGCGGCAGTTATTTGACATCAACAACCAGTGGGGCGTGTTCGAGCGCTGTCTACGCGTGTCAGGAAGCCGCCCAGCTCGGGCAACTGGGCCGTGTTTTCTGCGCGGCTGCCGTATACTGAGGTTCGGGCATTTGTCGCCTACGGTTGTGGCCATAGGCACACTTTCAGTGCGACAAGGCTGACAAGGTAGGTCACCATGGGGCAAATGTGTATGACACATGTGGGCGAACATGAGTCGTCTTCGTCTCAGACTAGGCGATGAAAAATGAACGGGTTGCACGTGTCGGACGCACGAAACAAACGAACACGAACCCAAAAAGCGGCAATTGCCAGCAATGGCGCCACCAGCAAGGGCCGGGTGGTGATCCCCAATTACCAACACGAGGTCTTAGGCGTGCGCAGCTTGCCAACCTCACACGCCGGAGCAGACCTTTCCCATCCTCACAAACACAGCAGCAGTAACACAGCGGTCAGAAGTTGAACCACCGCCTTCCAGCCCAGCCATCCGGCTCCCTGCCCTACGGCCGTGTCCACAACGAATGTCGCTGCTGCTACTTTGAGGTGCAAATACTACGGCGTGAGCCTTCCCAAGGCACGTGGGAACGGCGGATGTGGTTGTCTCACCTCCCGCTCGGCTGGAAGGCAACGCAACGCCCGTGAAAAACGCGTCAGTGGCAGGCGCAAGGCATGCGCACACAACCACAAGCCCCCCAACTACGCGTCCGACCGGAGCCATTGTCTCCCGACGGCTTTCCTGCTGCTTCTTTGCGGTGGGTATTTTCTGTCTCGTCTTCCTTGGTGTGTGGAGAGCGGCGGTGCGTAGCAGCAGGCAAGCGGGCAGCGGACAGCGTTGTAGCGGCGCTACGGGCAGGAAAGCAAAACCGCCGCCGCCGCTTGGCCGCCGAGCCTGGGGGGTCTCTTGTTGGTACTTCAGCGTGCGGGGGGGGAGGTAAGGGGCTACGTGAATCGTAGACAATGTTTTTTGACTCATCACACGCGGCAACGACGCACACGAACGTAGTCATCTCCTCTTCATCTCTCTGCCCCACAGAGCCCGGGGGAGATCAACAATCGATTCATGGCCGTAGCGGACACCATCTGTGCTGCTACAACTCCCTGAGGAACATTGTAGCGACATCTCCCCCGTGGTTACCCAGAGGCTAACAAAGATTGTGCACATTTGGTGGCCATATCTTGTGTATCGTTACTGCTGCACAGCAGTGAATGTTGTAGAGTTGTACAGTAAGTAGTACTCGGCTCGGTGTAGACTTTATTCTATCTTATTTCCCTTACAACAACCCACCGAATGTCCATCTCTACCTCCAGGCTATGCACAGATAAAGAAATCGGTTGTCAACAAGCGAGCTAAACGAGCAGAGCATTGACGTGGCGATGCGTTCGCCGCACGGTACGCAACGGCGACCGGGGGGGCAGATACAAGGGGAAAGTTACGTAGTGTGTTGCGTGACATCAACCACGCAGCAAGCGAAACGACGGACATGGACTACATCCTTAGCAGTACTGTGACATCGTTGCCACGACAATCCCCTACCGCATGATGTTGAAGGCAACGCGGATTGGGGAGGACCAGCGCGAACTTGTGTAGACCATACCGCCACACCATCAAACCGTCACATTATTCGCAAGAGCTGGCCCAAGCCAAACTTGGAATCAATCGTGCCTAGAATTTGAATGTAAGGAGCGTGCACTTCACATGTTTTCACTGACACCAGCACTCACCCACTTACCACGTGCAAGATAAGTCCGCCATGCTTACGCTGTAGGCAACTGCATTCAAAAAGTTACAGATTCTTCGGGTGGGTTGTTAGTGCTACAGCGAGCACAGATAGAGAGAACGAGCAGCACGACGCGTGACCATGACGACCCTTTCCCCTACGCGAAAACTGCGCCGGGAATGGCCTGAAAAATGCACCAATTTATCGCCCTGCCTGTCCAATAGCCTAACTCGGGAACTTGACGACGAGCAGCTTCGATACAACGTACATCGGACGCCCCGTGGGTTCGCCAAAAACGCACGAGCATATCTTGAACCACTTTACATGCTCATCGCTGCGCCAATTGAAGTACACGTTCTGATGGAGGATCGAGTACAGGTTGGTAGACTCTGCCCCCTTGAGCCAGTCACTCTGTGCCGATTTTCCGCGGTGTGATCCAGCTCCGGATGCCCCATCCTCGATGTTGGTGAAACCTCCAAGAAACACACACGACAAGCTGCGACCCTCTTACATTCCGACGAACTGCGACTAACTGCCCTGCTGTGGCTTCCTCTCGCCAATACATCGTTGCTATTAGGCTGATTCTACCCTTTCCCGGGATTCGCGTTGATACTAGGAGTGGTAAGCACAGGCGAAGGAGACGTTTGAGACCCCATCTCCTCCTCGACACCATCGAGGCATGAACGTGCACCTGCCGTCTGGGAGGTCCCGAACACAGCATACATTGGGGTAGGAGTTAGGGAGGGCGGGGGAGGGGTAACGACCCATCAATCACGAATCCTTTCCGTACGAAAAAACGAGGATTCGCGCGGTAGACCATACAGCGTCCATGAGGTTGCCCAGCGAGGGATATCATGATTGGGAGGTAAGAGCACACGTCGGAGTACACCAGCTTGCGTTAGCACTCATGAATAGAAGAAATATCACACTGGGAAAACTGCGGCGTGGCATCTTTCCAGGAGCACATACCGCAGAGAAGGCAGTTCACGGTGAGCATGAACATATATTTGCAAAAGGCAAAGCTCGTGCACGCTGGAGAGATACATAGGGGATTGCTGCCCGTGATCATGATATGCATCAGGGTCGTAAGGAAGGGCGCTTGAGGCGGCCGAACTCGTTCCGACGGCGTCAGACCCCCGTATGTGTGTGTATATAGACAATGGTTTGGTGGAAGAAATACCAACTCGTCCTTGGCTTTGGGGCTTTTCCACGATCCCGACACGATGCAGAGTAAAGGAGGCCAAGCTGGGACAATCGTCGGCAAGAGGCGGTACGAATAGATACCTCAGACAGGAGAGGCCGGGGGCTGTAGCTTCCTCGAGGCAACGGCGATAGGGTCGAGTTGTCCTCCTTCGAACGCGGCGCCATACCGGAGGGTTCCTACCAACACGACACAGAGGATACGTACAGCACAGGGGTCGGGGTATGGTGGAGATGTTGAGGAGAATAGATACAGCGCAAGTCGATAAGGCACCCTAGTCGATGAGGCGTCCTCGACGATAACATTAGCATTTTCCGCGATGCTCGCAATGCAGAGAAAACACCCGACCGATCGCACGGCAAAGGTACAGAGGTCCTGCAAACTTGTCGAGCGACTGAACCGGCTAGACGCAAGCTATCGTACGAAATACAGAAGGCAAGAACAGCTGGTGAACGACAGTGATACCAGACCAACTCTCGACGGAAAGCGCACCTGCTGCTGCTGAGAGCGGCGGGCTTCTCGCTCCAGTCTCAATATATCCCTGCCTGCCTTTCTCATCTCGGTGTCATGTGCTAATCTTAATCGTCTCAGCGCCTCCGAGCGCTCCGCCGTTGCCCGGGTTGCTGCGTCTTCTGCTTTGGCCACGGCCTCCCGACGCAGCTGCCGTAGTAGGTTAACCGATCGATCGAAAGCGAGAATTGCTATGGTTGGCGTGCGCACCAAACAGAAACAACGACGTGCAAAGGCTTGGATTTCAGCTCAAGCGCGACAATCACAATAAATCAGTCCCGTGGAACCAACCAAGTCGTCGAAACAGCCAGTAGGAGATGTCCCTCGGAAACATGAAGACACCAACTCCAGCAGAATGGTAGGTTGACACCTCGCACGGCTGCTGTCCGACAACGAAAACCACGCTGTGAATGTGCTAAGGACGCCAAACCTCTTGCATCTCCTTTTCCCATTGTCGCCGGGCAGCTTCGAAGAGGCTTTTCTTGTCCTGATGAACACGCAGAAGGCCGGCCCTGTGTTCCTCCTGTGGGGTTAGCAAGTACAAGATATGTTCAAATCAAACGGCAAATACAGGGAACTATCTGAGTGTCGGTTTACAAAGGATCGACCCACGATCAAATTCTCTTTTTGTGTGGTCAGAGCTTTTCGACGTGCTGCTTGGCCAAGACGAACCACAATGGTCCAAACCCCCTATTAATAGTACCAAGCCGGCATCAACTCGGCGAGTTCTACGGCCAAGGCCTTCTTGCCGGTGTTTCGCAGAAAAGGACGCGCTGCGTCTGAGGGTAAAATAAAGCGTGGTTTTCGACAAGTTCATGTTTTCGCACTGGCTTCAAGAGTCCACAGAAATCCGGCGACGTATTGCATTCGGGTATTTTCGTGGCAGAACCGGGGCAATTGCCTCTCGTACCTGCGAGTATTCTTCCGCTTTTTCCTCGGGCGTTGAAAACGTTCGAGTGTTCAACAGGCCAGGAGCGTGCTAGTTGTTAGTTCCAACTCTACCACAAGCTACCGTACATTCATTGATGAAGATATAACGCTGAAGCGAAACAGATGGTTCACCGAACAGACCTGGAGACGCTCTATCTCCTCCGCGTGCGTGGCCCGGTCTGTCTCCGCCTTGGTCCTTAGGTCTCGAAGCATGTCGTCTTGGGTCTTCTGGGCCTTCTCCACCTCCTGCAAGAAGCGAAACGACGCCGACAAGCCTTCTTTGTCGGGTTTTCCCTTGAAAATATAATTTCGTTTTGGTTGTAGTTGATGAAACAGCACCAGCCCACCTTTCAACTTCAGTACTAACGTTTTGGGGGGGGTGGCTGCCTACGTGCGACCCAGAAAACTGAGGCTCAAAGTCCCACGGGAAATATAACTCGAAGCGAGCCACAGCAACGAGAGAAAGGATCCAAACCTGGGCGAAATGTGCCAAGGGTGATCGAGGGAGAGGTATACTCTATTCGCACCTTGAACATTCCTTCTTCTGAGCAAGAAACATTGCAAACTTGTCGTTGAGCGTGCTTTGGCAGAACAAAAACTCACCTGGGCAAGAACCCCTTTCACACCTGCCTCAAGGCCTCTTCTCTTCTCCCGTTCTTCGGTGGCACGCCTCTCGGCCGTTTCAGCCTTGGCTTTCCATGACCGCAACTGGGCGTCGAGCGAGTCCTGGGCCGTTTGGGCCTGCCACGCCGATTTATATTCATAGGCCACAGGGGCGATCACGGCCGAAGACAGTGTCGGACCATGGCAAGGTTGAGAACTTTCACGGCAGATAGTAGCTGGGAGCTATGGATGGTTGATGTCTCTCGCGATGGCAACCACGCAGATTGCGTGCCATGGAAGGCAGAATTAGCTGCGAAGCTAGACAAAGAAGCAGCCCGCACGACGAACGTTTGCGTGTGTGTGAACGGCGTCCGCCATTCTTACATGCGGACAGCAAGCGCTGCATAATTATCCAAAAACGTAAATCGTATTTGCTTTAGCTGCCAATGTTTGAAAGAGCCGAGCCAACCCATCTGAACGCGCAGACACGTTCTGAGAATACACTGGAAACACTGCGTGTCGAAAGCGGTTGGCACGGTACCGGTGCTAGCTGGAGATAGCGGCCTTTGAAAATCACCCGCAAGTCTATCTATGGGGTAGAACGCTCAGAAAAAACGGCCAACAGACAATGGGGCACTAAACCCCTTGTCACCATTGTCAGCGCAATTGGCTGCACCCGCGAGCGCACGAGCATAGTGTTTTCGGTACCTTTGTGGCAGCTTCTTCCCTCTCCCGAACATTTCCTTCCATGGCACGACGAAGCGCGTCTTCGGCGGCTCTTCGAAGCCCTCCCTTTTCCTCGGCCCAACCCCGCTGGAAATCAAGTCTCTGATGTGCCGCAACAGGTTTACCGCAGCAGTAGATAAGCAGCGGAAACGGGCAAACAAGACGGGCATCAAAACGCTCAACAATAGCGCGGAGGTGCGTCGCGCACGCCGGCAAGAGCGTCGAATCTGGAGGCGTGAAGCAATGAACTCTATCGCGTTCAATTCTGTGTCAAATCGTCACGAGTGCTCCGAACACAAGGCACATGCGGTTTGAACCTTTGCGCTCCTTCATCACACTCCTTCCTACGCAGCTCTCACTAGGTGATGAAGAGCTTGGCACAGTCACAGACAACACAGAAATCACAACAGGCACCACGAAGTTTCGAGATCCTTAGAGTGAAGCGTCAGCGACGCCTACTGATGAAGTCATGTGAACGACGTGCACCACCGAACCGCTAGCCGTGAGCCGATTGCGTCTCATGCCGAAATTTCCAACTGAGTGGTAGGCGGAGGGAGTAAGCTTGACGGTCTCGCGGAGGACGGGGTGGCGCGGGCAAATTTCAATAACGGCGGCTCGGGCACCACAATCTCGCTTCCTCGCCCGCACCCTTTCGCCCCGGCCAGTTCCCACCCCTCGCGTTTGGCTGTTTTATCCCAGGCGCAAACACCTGTTGGTATCTCACGTGACATGCTTTGTTGCTATCCTCAAAGTACCATTCTTCGCCACCATTATGTACTCTAACTTCAGCGTCGACTGGGACGTGCAGGGCTCGAACGATTTCGGTCGATCGATACCGTTCTGCCGTCGTTTACCCTATGCACGCTTCGTCCTTTGCCAAAATATAGAGCAGTTTCGAAGAGCCCAACCGATAAAAGTGAAGGCATGCACGGCTCAGACCTCTTCAGTCGCAGAAGACAGGCCGACGACAAGCTTTCTTCTCACCTGCTTTTCGAGAGCTTCCTTTGTGGTGTTTCTCGCAGCCTCGGCGGCGGCCCGGGCCTGCCTGCGGCATTTTTCCACTTCGCACTTGGCGGCCGCGGTGTCGGCACTAAGTGATTCCCTGAGTGGCGGTGGGCACACAGGACGAGAGGAGGTGTCACCCCTCGGCTGGTTGCAGGTGCGTATCCTCAGGCCTCTTTCAATGGCGCCAATGAGGCACTGGGGTCCTGGAGATATACCAGCCTTGGAAATGCAAAATACTTTCTTTAGCAGACGGTTTTGCTATGGGAGTTGAAGAGTTTGACTTTGCATTAGATTGAGAACGAGGCGCCTAGTCCAGCAATGAGAGTCGTTTCCACACGTTGACCAGTCTTCCGAATAGATTCTTCAAGTTGAACCGTGCGACATTTTTCCCAGAAAGGAAGCCTGAAGTCTGGCATCAACTTGAAATTTCGAAGTGAGTCCGTTTTCAATCACTTCCGTGTTTAGGTCGCGTGTGAAACGGCCCCGAATCCTCCTTTTCCCCGTGGTCACCATTCCGAATTCCGAAAAATCTAAAACATTTTAAACGGCCACAGTACCAACGGCCTCCTGGCTCTCTGTGGTCACCACTCGTAGCAAGGTGGGTCCCGGTAACATTTCGGTTGTAGCGGCTTGGGACTGACCCCTGTAATCGTACTGCTTACCTCTCCGCTTTCCAACTCTCCTCCGCCAGTTCGAGCTTCGCAACAAGTCCCTTCTCCTTTTCCTCGAACCTCTGCTGAGTCTCGAGAAGCAGCTGCTTTTGTCGAATCCTTTCGTCGTGGATTGTTCGACGAGCAACTTGTTGGGCACCCTTCGTAGGGCGAACAAGAGGTGCAAGGACGAAAAGTGATGTTAGCCCATTTCCGACAAGGACAACAACGCGTTCGCCGGAACGCATGGTTACTGTGTCGTAGCCGAAGAACCATGCGGAAAAGGGTTGGCTTACAACAAATACAACGCTGCGTTTGTCCACAGAAACACTATCGACGATGACGACCGGCGATCGTTCGTACCAGTCGCACGCCCCGGAGCTGCTCTTGAAAAAGCCTTGTCTGAGAACGCTCTCTCCTCAAGCACTCTTGCTCGATGCGGAGACATCGCATGGCTATTCGCCTGCTGAGCTCGGCCACCCGGCCGGCGGACTCTTGTTCGTTATCTCCGTCCTCATCTCCATCCTCTTCCTCCTCCTCTGAGTGTGCCAGTCCCCCTGCTCTCTCGTCTTCAAAGCATTGCTGCTGCTCGTGCTGATCCACTTGCTGCGACGTGCCCCGAGCCATTGCCCCTCTCTCCCCGAAGCCTGAACGATTTCCCACCCTACGTGTGACCAGCGGTGACGGACCATTGTCGCCGTCGTATTGGTCGGACGTCTGGGCCCTGTGTTTACCGGGGCTGTTGCCACCAATGCTGCCCCCGTGTTTACCGGTGCTGGATTCTCCCCGTTCTTCATGGGTCTCATCTCGGAAGAGGTCGGCGACGTTCTGGCGGAGAACGGAAAAGCGGTCTCCTTGCGGCGTACGCATGGCAGAACAAGAGTCCTGAGAAGAAGTCGCGAGTAGCGCCGTCACACCAGCAAAAAAAGGTTCCAGAAGACAAAGCGTGGGAGTGAGGGTCATGGTGTGACCAGCGAGCGAACGGAAAAACAACGAAATGCACCTGTTGGTCTTCACGTGTGAATGACCAGGCGTGGTGATTCGAGAAAAGGGGTCGCGGACGAAGGAATACTGTATGCTGAGCGGTTTCGCTGAGCAGCACGCAGCCACGCCTGACAGCAATCGCCGCGCGCATGAATGTGACGGGCTTCATCTCGGTTTGGTAGATGAGGTGGTACGCAAATAGAATGAGTGGTCCATGCGTTGTGAGTAGCAACGTCCTTAACGTTGTCGTGAACAGGGCAACGATCACCACCCCTTCTGCTGCCGTCTTTCCTACAAACCTCCTCGGTCGACGGTGCATCCTCCACCGATTCAAGCACCCCACGCAGAACGCTCTCTGCGTCCCGCAGGGATGGGAACCTCCGGCGCTGTGGCTTGTCCCGTTTCCTCTCGGTGATACCTTTGGCACGCGCACTACGCCCTATACGGGCCGTTCGTCGTGGCGAAGGCCGTGGCACATGTGTGCCTTGAGTTGAGCACCTTTCTTGGACACAATCGTCGACTTCTTGCTCGAAACGAGTGGTTTTTCGCCCTCCTGCCGGTCGCCCGGGTCCTGTTCCCCGCAAGGCCCCATCGCCGTCGGGGGGCACGGATTTTCCTGCGGGACTACCCGCTCGATACGCAGCTTCGGCGGCGAAATAATCATAATTCGCAGCCCTCCCATTCGCTTTGGTGACTCGAGGCGACTCCGTCGGTGCTGTTCGTTGTACAACAACGGCATTGTCGGCTTCAGGAGGACACCGTTCTTGCCAAAATCGCTCCTCTTCCGCGTAGTAGTGTTTTTCTGGAGCGTGCTGTCTAGGCCCAAGCGCTCTCGCTTCGCCAGTGATGCCCCCTCGCTCGTTCGGCTTCCCTTTTCGTTCGACAACCACGCTGCCAGTCCTACAGAAATATGGTGAGATCGCAGCGGTTACCGAGGCTGAGATGGATTCGTGTCGCAAACTGATTCTTGCGCGGTCGGGAGCGGGTAGCCTGCTGTGCACTGCGGCGGCGCACCCCCGATGCGCACGTCGATGGCCGCAGGACCAACGCCGGCTGCCACGACGAGAACGACACGAAGTATTCACAGTTTCCCTTTGGACCCCAGCATACGTCTTCGATTCCCGGAGTGGCACACTGAACCCTCATACACCACGAGATTACCTCGACTGCTACCATTCAGCTTGACTGTTTTGGCTATCTCAGCGCCACACTATGGGACACATAAGGTTTCCTCCACGTTACATCTTCTGGATAAGCATGTCCACTTACTAGTATATTCACATTTCTCCCACCTGTGCAATCTGATGACGTGAGTAAGGGTGTCTCCCGTCTCCAAGTCATGGCCTTGCTGCTTTGGTTCAAGTGACGTCGAGCGCGTTACCGACCACTGCAAAATCGACACGACGGCTGCAAATAAGGTGTTAGCTCGCGTCACGAATGAAAAGCGTTGTGGACTTTGTTAAACATGGAAGTATTTGTTTCGCAAGGGACGTTACGCTTGCCCGCCCTCGAAGCATCCAAACGTCGAGTGAATTGATCAGCATTCTAATTTGTAGCTGGAACGCTGGAACCATCATATTGCTGCCGCGGGTCCTACCGCCCATAAATCAATTCGTGATAGTTCAGACCAAATCCCGCGAGAGCCTACTTCCTCTGGACCGCCCTTCGCTACTAGACAGACCATCCCTCGACGTGTTGCAATAGCGTGGACATGTAGCGATGGATTCCTCACTCACCGCTTGCCCTATTGGCTGGTGCACCCCGTCGGGATCGCCCGCTAGCTTGCTCGCCCTTTGCGTTAACGACACATGGGCTGTGCAATCCCTGGCCTCGTCGCGTCCTAAGTTGACGGCATCCAGGTCGAGGTCATCCAGCATCCCTGGGTGGTGTTCTGGCGAGGGACTGGGCGCACTCTTATCCCTTTCGCGGTGCCTATGGGTAGCGTCGCGAAATACACATTATATGGCCTCTTCAGATAACCCAACGCGTTGAATCGCCAGGCATCCGAGTGTTCAAGTTCTGCTCTCTCTCCCTCCCGGCTCTATTCTCTGATTTTGATATCGCTATCCCTCATCGTATAAATGAAGATATATCATGAAACCGTGCGGAAAAGCCTGTATCTGAAAGCAGCTACATGTCGCGGTGGGTCTAGCGGTCAGCAGGATCGTCTAGACTAGCCAGTGAGCATCAGAGCGCATGTTTCGAGACTCAAAGACGATGGGCGAATTTCTCTCACTCTTGCACCATCGAAATCCAGCGACGGTAGAACTACACGTGGCACGACTCCACTGATACACACCGTGCATCGTTCGAGATGTCGTTGTACCAATGATAACTCTGTGCACGAGCTGTCGTACCAGCGCAAACAAAGGTTAAGGCCGCAGTGGAGTTCGCAGATAAAAAAAAAAAAAGTAGAAAACGCCCATACTTGGTTTCCCAAATCTAACTCCAGTACGAACCTACCATCGCACACTAACCGTCCGCAAAGATCGCTCGCGTACAATGTTAGTAGCTCATATGTTGTAGTTCGTGTGATACACGACTGATTCGCGGTCCGGAATAAAGGATCTTGTGATCATCGAGATCGGTGAAAAAAATTGCAAGCAGGATTTTTAGAAGCTGCCGTATGGGCGATTTTCGAAAGCTTCAAGCACCGTTACGGCTCGACCTACATATACATGACCCCAGGCGTTCAAATCACCTAGGTCGATGAGCACGATGTGTGAGGGAAGACCTGCGCCGAAGTTCGCGGTCCCACACACTCACATAGGCTCTCATTCGCGGTGACTGTATGCTTGAAGTATTCGAAAACCGGACCGCCCGGCAGCTTCAATAAATCCTGCTCGTAGCTCACCGACCTCTATGATAAAGCATCCTTTGGAAAATCGCGGACCGCAAGTCGGTCGTGTATCACAAGAACTACAATCTGAACTACTGTTGTACACACGCGACATTGGCGGGCGGTTAGTGTGCGATGGTAGATTCGCACTTGAGTTCGACTTGGGAAAAATATTCAGGCGTTTCCTGATTATTGTAAGAAAGAGGAGATCTGCCAACCTCCCCGCGTGACGACAGTATCGTACCTCGTTCCCCAGACGATGTCATTCTCTGCGTCCCCCTTGTTGGTGGAGTATGCCAGGCCATCCCACGCCGGCAAAGGCTGTAGAGCGGCCTCGAAGGCATCGGCACCACCATCGCTGTCGTCCGCGTTGTTTTGAAAGCCATCGCAAGACCCATCCATCCAGTTGCTATCCCATGATTCGCAGAAAGTGCCCATTTGCTGAAGCTGACAATTGGTCATGAGGTCGGAACGGCTACTGATGATAAAGGTACTGTATCCAGTCTTAGACCGGTACAAATGCATAGTAGTCTAGATGCCCGGCGCGAGCGCGGGCGATGTGTACTCCTGTAATTGCAGTGTCTTGAGTACGGAGGTCCACGTGCGTGCTTACACTGGTCCTGCATGGTAAGGAACGCTCACCGTTTGTCCACCATGGACAAGCAAGGCTCAGCCAGTGCCTCGCACATATATTATCGGAGCGTTGTAAGATGCTGTAGTTATGGTGCACCGACGGCAGGGTACACAACTACTGCTGTTTGGTATGCAGACCCCAGCAGTACACAGAATACGGTGTGTACTGTAAATTGCGGCAACCACAACTTCTGCTGCAGCAGGCTTTTGTACGCCCAAGACACTCGGGGTGCAACGAGATATCCAAAGGCTCGGGGGAAGGCATACACCAGAGGCCACACGCGCAGCAGCATTACATAGCAATAGCGAATCAATGCGAACCTGTGTACGTAGATCGTCAAGGTTGACGTCTCGGAGGGTCATAGGCCAACATCTGGAGCACCCATGGAGCAAAGGCAACCGAAAGATCGCATCCCTCACCTGTGCCGTCACAAGGCGAGTGCTTCCCCCCGTGTTCCTCGCTGCAATGGCAACACTCGTCGCAACCTATCCGCGCCCTCTCTGACTCCCCCACCCTGTCTCAACCCGGAGTCACCGCGGCTTTCATCCCCAAACACTTGTAAACATCGACGGGACGATCTGTCTGGGGGGAGTTGCAGAACATCATGGTGGGATTCTGGTTTTTGTTATTGTGTTTTTTCACTCTCTTGACTCTTGACTCTTGACCCTTTTGCCCCCACAGAACGCAGCTCCCAGCACGATCTCCGGAGGCGGCATAGCTTCTGTTCCCCCCGGCTGCACCTTCTCCGGCCCAGCAAGCGGCCGCTCGGACAGATTCATCCGGAAATCCTGGAACTGTATATAGTAGAGCGCACTGGTGTCGTGCCGAAGATGCCGGTTCGGCAAGATACAATACATACATCCAGTAGCGGTGGAAAGGGGAGCGACCGACTCTTCGATTGGCCTCTGATATCATTTTTCCATCGGTTTGTATGGATGATGCACGTCCTGATGCAACAACGATCTAACGTGGCGAACATTTCATGGGTATTATTGCACGATAGACTATATTGTAGACTCTCCAGGCTAATGTTCAAATCGTCGTTTCTCCGCAATCACGAACGGTGACGAATATTTACTTCCGTGTAGTCTACACCACGGCTGTAAGACGAAGCTCTCACCAAAGATATACGGAAGTATACCGTATCTGTAGAATGGTGCCGCGTTGAAAGGCACCATCATCGCTTTTGTCAAAGTGCAATGTCGAAATCGATCGACGACGGACTAAACCATACAATCAGTGTGTACAAATGATTTACAGTTGACATCTAAACGCTGGATAGGAGGAGGACGGTGACGTCTCTCACGACCTCCGTACTCAAGACCTCAAATGAGAGACTACTGTAAGGGGTGTGGTATTGACCCTACTTTCTTTACCGAACTTCCTTTACTAAACCTCCGCTGCCCAAAGAATAACAACAGAAAAAATCGTGCTGTGGTCTTAATAGAAACGTTCGTCGACTCCGATACTCTTCGTTTGTCAACGGGTGGAGGGCGTCGCTGCTAAATGGTTCTACTTGGTTTCTATGTGCTGCAAGAAAGAACAGTGCTCAATCGATTGCGTGTGTAGGGGAACCTACCACCGACTTCGCACATCTGAACCGACAGCACCGGCCGGTTGCATCCTGCGGTGTGGGCTAGATCATTCTTGCCCTCTCGGCTTCGGTCGCGGCTGGTGTTGTTGCAGACGGTGCCGTCAACCCATAGCGGTCCGAGGGGTCCCTGGTGGAGGAAAAAGGAACTACTGTAGTCTCATTCATCTCGAGGAAGACCCCGACAAAATCTCGTTGGGAATCGCATAGGGCTGCTACATCGACGGTCGTCACGACGGGCTCTGGAACATGTCGGTTGGTCGGCCGGCGGGACTAGGGGAGGGTGGGCGCTTCCGGAGTGGACCACTACAAGTCAACCCCAATGAGGCACAAGTGCGCCTGAGAGCCTACCGGGACGAATCAGGGTGTTGTTGTTTTCACACAAAAAACATGAAAAAACGTTCCGATCTCTCTACCAAGTACTTTCATCTGTCACTGTTCAAAGCTTGACCGGTGTTTCGGTTCTCGTGGTCACAGGCTAACTTACCCAAAGAATGGAATACTCAAATAGATTGGTGTGCGCGCTCTTTTTGTGCCTCACTCTCGGGGAATCTCGATTACCATGGTTCGATCGCGCCAGGCTTGTTTTCCTCGTATGATCGTGCACAACGGCCCTGAGAAAGCAGGTGTGAATTCCGCCTACTATTTAGTTGGTAATCGTCCCAACGGAAGCACGCGATGATCTGCGTGTCCATGCCCCATTTCCGCGTGCGTTATACAGATGGAGGAACACTCGGCTCTTGCTCTATTTGCCCTCGTGGTTGGACATCTGCGATTGGTTGACATTTTCACAAGCGTTGGCAGAGTGGAGAAAACGAAACTTTGGACCAGGCGGTTTGTCGGGCGGAAACGAAGGGAAAGGTAGAGAAATCAGAGGTGGTACCTCACTCAACTGCCCTGCATTGTCGGCTTTGTAGACTCGCCAGAATGGGATGTCGACAAGGCCAAAATAGCAGCGGTTTTCCTGTTTGGGCTGTACACGACGTGTCACCGAATAAAACCCGTCGCGTATCTCATTATCTTGTATGGCTGTATTCGGTGTTCTACGGCGGTCGGGTGCGGTCGATTGGCAATACGTTAACCGCGCGGTAGCACTCGCTCATGAACCAAAACGCGATGCTCGAGCAGTTTTTTTAGTGATCGTCTTTATTGCATCTTCTTCATTGTATACATTTTTGGTCAGTGCCATGGCAGTGCGAGTGGGTGTGAAATTGTGCATTAGTACGCTACAGTAGCTCACTTACGGTTCGAAATCCGGGTTCCGATGGAATTCTTGTGTCTGTTCTAGCCGTAATAAACCGTATTTTCACGTAAGCCATGATAGAGTCCGGGCGGACGCAGGGTTATATTCCGTTCATAGCTGCGAAGTCTCATTCGTTTCAAAAAAATTGTGAAATTGTTGAGATTTACGACGCGCTTCGAGAGTTGAACATTTCTTGAACAAATGTGAAGTCAAGGGTCCGACGCTTTCGATCAAAGCACGATTTGTACTTCCATGGCGCGTCGATCTGTCTCTGCTTAATGAATTCCTCAACAACACAGTCGCCGAAAGGATGATTGTAGAAATATAGGCAACGAATGCTTCGTGCCTCATGCGAGTATCACCAGAAGAAACGAGATATTTGACACACAATGTCCTTTCGCGAGTTCCAAAGCCGTGTTCATTCAAGGATGGCCTCATGACGTGCTCGATTTAGTGCTAACGTTTCGACCCAATGAATTCAGTAGGTTGCGCAAATATTATACTTCATCGGCAACACGATTCCGCCGGGATCCGCGTTCCGAACAATTGGATGTGTGCTATTGAATCGAAACCCCTCTTGGATTTCCTCGTCTTCTATTGAAGGGCCGGTAGTAGCGAAGGGTTGAGCGTAGATGCAAAGATTATGTTCACAATCCAGGCATAACTGTAGAAGAAGTCTTGATATTGATTCTGGCAAAAGTGCGTCATACGAGTGAACTGGCAAGAAGAGGGATATTCTGGCAACGTTTCAATACGTCAAATTTCATTAAAGGTCTTTGGGCTGCTTGCTTCCAGAAGGATGACTCCATGGATGAAAATTCACTCGATAGCCTTGGAATGTTCCATAGAATTGACAAAAAATGTAAGGCACCCGAAGAATTTGTTCAAGCACTCGTCGTGTCGTCTGTGTGTCTTGACATTCATTTTCATTTGGGTGTGTATTTTCTTGAATTTCGAAACAAAGTGTGGAGGTCCAAAAAGTGTGGAGGTCCAACTCACGCTTGCTGCTGCTATTTGTGCGGGCACATGTTTTGCGCTGCAATTTCCAGCCGATCTCATTCATGCACCTCGTGTGCGACCGGTCGTTGTTATTGCTGTTGTGTTCGCAATCTGTCAAAATACATGAAGGTCGGTAGGTCGCATCGATGCCGACAATCCATGCCGACGACTTACGTCGTTTTTCCCACACGAATATTTCGAAAATATATCATTTCCCCAAAGTCCACCACCTCCTCTTTCCCCACTGTAGCTGCTAATAAAGGTTACTTGCTGCCAAAATTGCTGCTGTTGTTGCTTCTTGCTGCTTCTACTGTTTTTTCCTTCTGATCGACTGCTGCTGTGTACGAGAAAGATATTGTACGATCGATGATTAGATGATCTGGAGGAACTCTCCCTGGCTGAGTTGAGGGACCAACGACAGGCTGTCCTCACACCCTCGTGGGGACACGCATGGCGTCGCCGTTGACCATCCCGCAGTCTTTAGAGGGTCAAGGAAAAGGACATTAAGCCCCCTGATCGCTTAGATGGCTACCCTCTCCATTGTCTCACGTGTGTTTCCCAGGCGTGGGCAAGGGTCACAGCAGCATGAAATTTTCAAATTTTCTGGCGTATCTACATGGACTATCCAAATCTCCGTACTCTTAGTTGCGAAGGAGAGCGCAACTGGCTGTGTCCACCAGCAAAAAGCGTGGGAAGAGGGTGGGGTGTGGAAAGCTGAAAAACTCCACCGATTGCGTCAAAGGGTGTTAGCTTCGGAAACGCTTCAGCGGAGCAACGTCAGCAAGAGCCAGCAAGAGCGTGCGAGTCGGAAACTGCTTCGGATGGTGCAGAGGTTTCGGAGAAGGGCGATTGCGCTGGAGCGCAAGATGGGTTGAAGTTCTTCTCCTCGCCTGTCACAGGCGGTGCAGGGTATCACTCCGAATAAGACCGAATCTGCTGTGAATGCCATGGACAGAAGGAGTGAAAAATGTCAGGGCCGTTTCCATGCAGCCCTAAATTTTCGCCGACCGGTACCATTTTGCCTTGGATTTTGAAGCTTGGTTTCACAGTAGGGTCACATCCATTTCTCGAACAAGTGTATTCCTGAAGTACTAAAAACGCATAGTTTTGGTTTCAGAAGCTATCGGTTTCCTCAACAACGAGGTCACGTCGAAACCAGGAGTGAAACAGACATTTGGCGACGACGCCCGCGTTTGAAAATACGATCAATCCAGGGAAACATGTGTGTCGGAGAGAGGACTAGGTTCATTCCGGGACTTCGGACAATAAACCATCGACTTCGATGGCATCGACAAGACCTGAGTGAAATTTTCATTAGGGTTACGACCGTCTGCCTCGGAGGAGACGGGACTCTGTTTCACACCGCGACATGTGACACCGAAAGCCCTGCCTATGAAAGTCATGGGCAAGACGTAAGGAGTGAAACTCGTCACTTTAGGTTACGACAACGACATGTGGTATCTTGAAGGAGTCGGGGCTATGTAGGCTTTTCACCGCGACTTCGGACACCGAATACCCTGCCCATCTTGCGGGCAAGAACGAAGGAGTGAACTTCGCGAAGCCCGTTTGCGTGGGTTTCTATTTCTTCAACGATTCACACACTTGTCCTAGCGAATATATCGGCAGCCAACGCGCGCTAGTTTGTTGACCCCTTGGCGACAGCTGGGGGGCGTGACAACACAGCTCAATTGATTTCGTGCCCATTGGAGGTGCTTCCGGACAGTTTCGCGCGGCGGCGTTGATAGGGCTTATGTACTAGCCCACCAAAGTGTTGCGGTGGCCACGTTCTTGGGCTTATCTCGTGAACGTTAAGTTTGTTTCGGCCACATAACGGCTTGTGCGACAGCTGGGAGAGGAGGAGGAGCAGGAGGAGGACATGACATGTTGCGGGGTTTCCGTCGAGCAAGATTGGGATGCTGCGTTCACGCACGTAGGGGTGCTGCTTCTCCTGACTTTGCGTTTGGTTTCGCTGAAAATTGATTCGAGGATTGATGTGTGGATGATGTGGATGTTTGTGGCGTGGTTTCCAACATGTTCTTGGCGCAACACAGCAGTGCGAGTGCTCCATCTGCGTTCGACAGGATATCCAGGCTTGATTATGCACTTCATTGAATGCTACGACACATGGAGGACAAAAACGAAAATACCCGGCCCTGGGGCTCTGCAAGTGCTTGTTGTTTTGCTCGTGCACATGATTTTCACGCGAACACCTACGAATAGATACCTTTCAGCAACGTTTGTGATAAGTACCAGCACGACTGCTGTTGTGCTACATTTATGTCCGCCTACAATTCGCTCGTCCTTGCACCGAAAAAAGCTCGTTTGAACCACGTCATATCCACGCTGACGCCCGTACAATCAACCGTGCGCATCATCAAAAGAACTCCCGGCGCATGTTAAATCTCGCTTCTTAGGCAACCCGAGACTACAGTTCTTAGTCAGAGTCCTGGTTCGGACACGACGTATTGTGTGAAGTATTCCGTCGTGTGTACATTCAACGCGGCCGAGTCTAGGCCTCGAAACCAAAGGTGATTGTAAAAGCAAAAATAAAATACCGTTGTACGCCACGCCCCCCCCAGTCCACTGAATAGAGATCTTGTTCGTCGAAATTCCGCATGGTGTGCCTTCAAGGGGCAGCGGCAACGAAAAAAAAATCAGCGATACACCACCTATACTTTTCACCCTGAGAAAAAGCACCCCCCGCCCACCTAAAAATGCCGACTCACGCCATCCCACTAGGCGCGCCCCTCGCGAATAAAGCACATTTGCATTCACGACGGAATATTTTCATGGGCATGGGCACGATTGCGCCGTCACGGGGGGGGTACGAGAGGATCGTCACGGCGGGGGTACTAGAGGACCCTAGCCATCAAAAACAGAAATGAATCACTTTTGTCGTCCTTGAGGACAGTGCACACACGAAAAGCTCAACACAACGTATATCCGAAATCAATCCAAATTGTCGTAGTCTGCGTGCGCCAGAAGGTTGCAGGATACTTCAAGTAAGCGCGACCACAGTATTGTCTGATTGGCCCCACTACAATGTGCTGCTGAGGTGCTCCATGGAGAAGCTGCACGCCAGACGGCAGGTGTGACTACCCAATTCAACCTCTGCGGGCCTGATGAATACAGAGGTGTATGTCCCGCCCCGCCCAAACGCTGGTTTCCCTTACTGCACGCTGCCGTCGTTGCTGACTAGGTCTCCGTCATCCTCGCCCACGGCACCGTTGCCAATACCGTCTCCGCCAGCGTCGCTGCCGGCGGTGGCGGCGCCGGCAGCGTAGACGCCGGTCGCGTCTTCCACCTCCTCGTGCTCGTCGTTGTTGCCTTCGTCGTCACTGATGACGCTTTCCGTGCGTTCGCCGCTGCCGACGTCTCCGTCACCGCCGACTCCTTCGGTCACGGACTGGCGGTCGTTGTTGTCTTCGTCGTCGTCGTTGTTGCTGCTGCTTCGGCGGCGACTGCTGGCACCTGGGTCGCGGTTGCATTGTGACGTATCGTAGATCGCACCGAGAGGCACGGCGGCATGTGGAACAGGCAAAACGATTGTCAGCGCTGATAAGGTCTTTCGTCGGGATAACGTCTCTGCTGCATCGAGGTTACAGGGCACGTAGACACAGGCAGCCTTGCGCTATTCACAACCAACTTACTCCCGAAACCTTCGCGCAAGCTGGTTGCTCGCCCCAACCACCACACACCCGAAAAGGCAGACGCACACCAGCACGTATTTCACACCCTCAAGAATGCGAAAAATATTGGGCGCGACCCACCACCTCGCATGATATCACGGACGATTTGGTCTGGTATGGCCTACACAACACTCCTGCGTCACGCAAGAAACACACCGCAACCACGCTAGACGCTGCATTGCACCCGCCGATCATGGCTGCGTGGCAGTCTGCAGGGGATAGTACACCGCAGACGTTCATCGTATGGCATGATGCGTTTTGCAGACTCGACTTAAAAGCCGCCAGCACCCAAGCCATCAAACGTGCAACAAGGCAGTCAAGCACACACAATCGAAAGCGGGTGCGCGATAGCCAACGGGCCAGCATCATCCCTACACTCTCTCAAACCCAGCAATTAAGCGCGCGTACCTTTTTCGGGGTCCTTCTCGCCGCCGCGTCCGCCCTTGTCGCGCCCACCGCCCCTACCTTCCTCGTTCGCCCTCTTCCGGCCGGAACGGTCCCTGCTATCACCGCGGCCACCGCGAGTCCGTCGAGAGTTGGGGCCCTTGTTCGGGAACTGTTTCTCGATCCAGCCAGTCACGATGGCGTCGATCTCCGAGACGTCGCTGTACTCGTGGATCTGTGGGAAGCCACGACACACAAAAAAAAAAAAAAACAGAGGCAGGTCAGAGCCGTAAAACCGCAAAACACTGAGCTCCAACCAGGAGGAGCCAGTCCAGCCCGAACAGGAGGTGAAGATAACGGTGGTCGTTGTGATTGTCGTGATGCCACCGTTCAGTGAGGAGCAGCCAGCCGCCACCAGAAGTGGTGTGTACCGAACGACACCAAACACCACGAGGTCAAGACAAATCAACAAAAAACTCTCGATTTCCAAACCCGAGTCAAACACAGGGCGCAATGCTGGGTCGAGATACTGCTCGTGTAGACGCGTCTAGGGCTGATTCCCGACACAATCAGCAACAGCATATCCACATGCGAAGTAAATAATGGAAGAGCTGGAGAGCATTACACACCAGCGACGGCCAAAACCCATAGCAGTACTTACCGCCAGAGTCGATTACTCGTACGAAGCCTAGGGTACAATTCCAACGATCGATCGAAAACTACACACCGCCACATCTGAAGAGCAGTACGGAACGCTAAGAACACCGTACTCACGTCGAGGTTCTTGTCTCCCGTGAGCATGTGAGGGAGCACATTGTCTGTGGCAGGGTCGCCTTCCCCGCGTCCCTTGTTCTTGTTGAACAGACACAAGCAGGGCTTGCACCGTTGGTGGATCATTAGGGCGATCTTGTAGCCGACACCAAGGGACGGGGTGGAGACCTGGCGTTCGTGGACGCAGGTGTCACAGACAACAGACGGCGTGGAACCCGGTTCGTGACACGTAGAAACTTCAGGACTGTGTCCATGTGCCTACAAAGCTACTCTCTCTTCAGGCACAGGAGGAGCAAAGACGCGGTACATGCTGTAAAAAGGATACAAAAAACAATGGTAATCGAGGCGACACAACGCGTGCGATGGGATCGGATTTCTTGGGCAACAAAAGCCGAGAGAAAAAACTTTCAAAACAACAGATGATGTCCAATCCCGCTAACCGCACAAAACAGAAAACGTTTGACGATCGAATCTTGATTGTGCAACACGTCAAAAAAACACGCGAGCAATCTAGCGGCTCGGGCCTGCTCTCCTTACCTCGGCGACCATTCCGTGTGCCGATCGGAGCCACCTCATGTCTCGCCTGTACACTTCCACATCTGCCTCTTCCCCTTCGTCTTCCTTAGGCCTTCCCGACTCGCCCCGACTTTCGCCGTTGATCGCAACTGCGTCTTCCTTGTTTTGGGCCTCCTCCGTCACCACCGCCGTCTTGTTCTCGACGCCGTTGGCCTCTTCAGCGGTCGCTTCCGAGTCCTTCCCGCTGTTCTGGTCGGCCTCAGCGGCGCCGCCGCCGCCACCGTCCTCATAGGACGCAGGAGCGTCGCCGTCCGCGTTGACCGAGTCGTCTCCGGCCGCCAGAGCCTCGCCGGCGGGTGCCCCCGTCGCCGTGTCCGTCATCTTGGTATCCTCGTCCATGGGATCGTCGCTTGGCTGCGTCGCCGCCGCCGCTGGCGCCGCCGCCGCCTCCGTCGCCTCCGCCGCCTCCGTCGCCTCCGCCGCCTTGGATTCCTTAGCCCGGGGGGGGGACGCCATCAGCACCTCGCCGCGCGCCTGTGGTACATGTACATTTTTTTACATCAAGTTCAACACCGCCGAGTTCACCGGCCGGCCGAATAAACGCGGTCGGTACACAAGTCATGGCGCAGGGTGGGGGGGGGAGGGCGCGTTGTGAAGAGCGTAGCGCGGTGGCGTGCGTGTGTCGCTGGTGCTGGTGCTGCTGGTGCTGCTGCTGGTGACGGTGCCGGTGCTGCTGCTGCTGCTGAGGTGGGGCGCGCCGAGCGAGTGCTAGTTGCGTCGGCGTGCCTGTTCGGCGTGGTTGGGGGGTCTGGAAGCATGACATCGCTCGTCGTTGTTGGGTGCAGACCAACGAACGTTCCCCTTCTTAGCCTCACCTTCACACTTCAATGTCGCCGCATGGGACTCCGAACCAAGGGCCTACACAACCATGACGATCGGCTCTCCGGCGATAACAATCAGCGGCCTTTGTTAAAAGGACGGAGTAGGAATCAGGAACAGGCGCGCTTGAGGCGACACGCCCATCTCTGTCAAATTCCCATCCGCCTCACTGGACCTGTTCAACCACGCTAACCTCCAAAATTCCCGGACAAGACCACCGGCAATGCCGGCTACACGGGGACACGGCCGTGGACCACCTTTCGCTCTCAGTGTCCCTTGCCTCCAATACTCAAGACCCATGTAAGTTGAATCTCCGCCGCTGCACTCCAATCCACCGCCCCCAGCAGGGTCGGGGGGGCGAAGGACACCCCCCCCCCCCCAACTGCCCGCCGCATAGGGGGCGTAGGTTGAAAAGCACAACGCCAGAGCTCATGGCAGTATGTTGCGTGGTCGGGAGCAAAAAACACGAAGAAATGTTCCCAGTGCGCGCGCGTCGCGGTCTCCCGCACACCGCGTGGCGGGAAAACGGCAGACGACTTCAGCTCGGAAACCCGACGGCACGGGTGGGGGAAGGGGGGAAAGGACGGAGAGCTGGCGCGCCAGCTCCAAAGCACCAGGCTCAACAACAGCAAGTCTGGTTCAAGGGTGACAAGGCAACCGCATCATCGCAGGGGCACCGTACCCGTCAGCGTGCTGGTGGGTAGAACGCACCGCGCCCCGCTTAAAGCCAGTGACGGACGGCGGGTCGCCGCGCGCAAAACTCCGGCAAGGTAAGTACTCGGTCACCGACGAGTCCACCATGCGATCCTCACCACCAATCGCCGTCACACGTCCGCCAGCAGGCACACACAGGCGCGCAACATCATAGCAGCCGGACCGACGCAAACCCGACCACCCCTACACACCAGCGCGCGGTCAACTTGGAACAACGTCCATGCCGTGAACAGAACAGAAACAACAGCACCCACACCCACAACGTAGCAGCAGCAGCAGCAGCAGAAGAAGAAGAAGAAGAAGAAGAAGCAGCACCTAGGGGCGAGGTGGGCGGGAAACAGGGGTCGTGCGTTGACACGCACCCCGCAACCCCCCCCAACCTACCCCACCCC